AATTGGATTTGTGATCGCAGCTAACAGTCAAGAGGATGACTATTACGTCCATGAAGGCCCATGACGAGCTGACCTGAGAGGACTCTGAGAGAGATTTTGTTGTGGATCTGCGTCCATGTACAGCTTGTCTTATGCTAGGGTAACCTCCTAGCTAGAGTCTTCATGTCTGCCTGAACAGCTGTGATACTTAATTCGTTTTCTCTTGCATGTTTTTGATAGTGACGCAGTGGATATGCCACTGCGTCCAACAGCTGATCGATTCGGTGGGTGTTTTTGTTTGGGCTCTGGCCCCGTTTTTGGTTTGGTTTTGGTGTTGTTTTGCTGTTTGCCTTGTTTCCGCTGGCGAAACGCAAGTCTGGCTGGGGGATTTGCGGGTCGTCGCTTTTTGTGTGGTTGTGGTTTTCGTTGTTTTGGTTCAATCGATCTGCTGATTTCAAGGACTTTGTGTCCTTGTACAGAGTTTTAGCTGCTTACTCTCATGTAAGGACCGAGCCTTTAGCGCGACATCGGCCACACTCGAGGAAAAAAAAAGTTAGCCCTATCGGCACGGGTAGGCTTGTCGCAATGGTAGGCACCGCAGAAGCTCCAGCCGATGACGGAGGAGATCTTCAAATCCTGTTTGGGTTGGTCCTAGCCATCACGTCACGCACATCCAAAAGCAAGGATGAGCTGCCTGCCTCCCGCATACACAGACAGTGCAACCCCAGATTCATCGAAGTAGCCTTTCTCTCAGGGCCAGCCATTGAATTTTTTGCGAAGGAACAGCTGGTAGCCCTTCAAGACTGGTATAGTGCCTCCGGCCAGCGCCTGGACCCCATTGATGCGACCGTTCAGGGACAAAAAAGCCCGGTCCCAGGGACCTTCTTTCTACATACAATGTGGATGTTCGGATGTACCAAGCCTACCCGAGAGGATACCGCTGTCGCGCAAACCCCCCCGTGCAGATACCACCTGGGATTAGGCATCTATAATGTCCAAACAGCAGTTGAAGGAATGGATGGCAACAAAAGATCACATTTCTTGCACTTGTGCGGCCAGTTGCTACGCCTAGTGCTAATTCCATGTCACGTAGAGGGTGAGCTTCACCCCTGGACCCGCTCCACTGCACTATCCTTTGCCGCTGAGCTCGACGGACATGTCTTGGGCACACTCTGTGCAGTAACAATGGCGTTGCTCACCAATCGGTTAGACCTGTGTATCCAAGGGCTTTTCGGAGCAGGCAAGTCGAAATCGATGGCAATCCTCATCCTGGCCTTGATTGAAATCGATGCTACTGACAGCCTCAAAATATTATTCATCTGTAAAGAGAACTCCGGTACTAGATCCTTTGCTGACCTCCTCCTATGGCTCGACCCCCCGTCGGGGGTGTTTGGGCGCATAGGTAGGCTAGTGGGAGACCAAGAACGTAACAAAAGTAGTTACTCCCACACGAAATTCGACATACACCCGAGAGAAAGAAGGCAAATGCTGAATAAGTGTCAGTTAATTTTAGCCACGAACGGTAGCCCAGGATCTTACCATGCAATGGTCCACAATGGGTGGCTTTATGCAAGAGCTCTCCCTCCTGGTCATTGATGAAGGCCAGCAATATGGTACTGACCGAGAAATTGCAGTCATCAGCCTGCTGAGACAGCAACCCCTGGTCTTGTGGACAGGAGACTCTGAGCAGACACCCGGCGGCATTGATCGTGCAGCCCGCAATGCGAAACGATCACGGCAGCTCCTGTTGGCCAAGAAGCATGGGCTGCGAAGCGACCGCAATTATTATATGCCAGCTAACCTTGCAGATGCAATGATCCGACTGCTGGACGGTTCGGCCAATGAAGGTTTAGCGGCTCTTAGTCAAATCCTCAAACGAGGCCAGCCCACTTTAGGTCAGCTATGGACAAGTCACCTCTCGCCGCAGGATGCGGAAGACCTCAGGGCAGCCAGCACTGTTCTTCCAGGCCTTAGAGCCCAATTTGAAGCCGCCCAGCCAAATATGCAACGGCACTCCCGATTTGTGGACTCAGAACTGCTGGCAGGTACCGCTATTAATTTTCCACGGTCCCTCGTGCGCCTTGCCTGGATCTTGCAGCATGCCGCTACTCTTCTACCCATGGCTGGAGACATACAAGCAGTTTTAAATTCCCAGACCGCCGGAGTGAGTGACATCCATGCTTGGGGGTTAATGCTTCCCTCCAGCTCTAGGGTTAGTCCTGTGACATACCATGCAGTGGTTGCAGTTAGATATCCTGATCTCTGCAGGCAGATCAATGGCCTATGGGAACTGGGAAGTTTTGCCTCGGGAGGACTTCCCAACAAGCCACCAGGGTTCCAACTAGTGCTTTGGGATACTAATGCTAGGATTAACGGGTTGGTAGCGACAGACCTGGAGACTCTTGCGTCAGAGGTACTCACCCCTTTCCCACACAATGCTGGATTTGCAGATGGACTTTTTATAATGACCACGGCAACAGATCACAAGAACAACTTGAACCGCTCCGTGCTCAAAAGGGATTATGTCCGCACCCTGCGTGTAGAAACAATAGCCAATTCAGCAGGAGGAACAGCACAGGTATCAATCGTAGCTCAGCCCAGTATTGGGTTTTTAAACACCAAATACTACTCCAATGGCTCCCCTACAGAAGATACCGAAGACTGCCTTGGCAGAATCACTGTCGGACTCACCCGGTCCAAATCGTTAACCCTGCTTGTCTCCCCGCTAGACATGATGGGGCTCATGGGCATGGCGCAGGTGATTGCGACAATTGCATATGGCATCCGGGGCCTCCGGAGAGGATAAACGACATGGAGGTGGCCTGACTTTGACCCTGACCCAGTTCAAGAGAATCTAGCACAGTTAAGCCGGTGGTCACTGAATTCGGCACCAACCTGGGAGTTCCCTCCCCTTGCAATCGCCAACCAATACTACGATCAGCAAGCCGACGAAGTGAAGCGAGCGAGATACCGTCTGATATTGGTGCGCGGGTCGGACCTTCGCTGGCTAAACAGGGAGCGCCTCCAAGAAGTCAAAACAGGCTTAGCAACTCAACATAAGTGGCTCCCCGAGCAGAATCTCCCTTTCTCTGAAGTCGTCCTATATGCCTACGCGGCTGATCGCACACCCTTTCCCACCTACGTGTGCCTGCCCTCAGGACTGTACAAAGCCCGCACCGGGCAAGTAGTAGCGCAGACGGGCCCAGAACAGGAGATCCTGTCCCTGCCTGGTATCTACTTCTTTGATGGATGGCGATTACACCCTAAGTTGCCGATCCCAGACCACTTGCCACGCGCAAAAGAGGCGCCAGTCCAAGGTACCGCTCTCACTGCACCTGCTCCTGGTACGGAACCCAAACGGTCGCCTGAAGAAGAAGCGAGAGACATCCTTGCAGTAGCTGCCAAGAATCAGCCCGAAGATGGGCCAAACACAAGAAGAGCAGCTGTCCGCGCATGCAAGTACTTAAGAGCTATGGTCAACCAATATGAGACCACCATCCAAGCCGTGCATATAGCCGCCCGCACCCATACGCAGAAAAGCAAGGGCACGGTAGGACCAGCAGTTGACTATCGCCCGCAAGGAGAAGCCCTCCCAGTCATCTCCGTGGACCTGACCTCCGAATTACTGCATTGTTTGTCCACGCTCCCAGACCCATGGCCCCTGGCCAAGATCACCATAGACATGGAGAAACCGAGCCAGTGGGTCTCAAAGTTGTGCAGACTTTACTTTGCTGATGAGTATGCCAAACGAACAGTTGGACTGCCCTCACGTAGGGAAAACGCCTCGTTTTCAAACGCGGAAATAGCTCGTTTTCAAACGCGGGGACGGATCGTTTTCAAACGCGCCCAACGGATCGTTTTCAAACGCGTCCAGGCGCTGGTTCTTGCTTTTTGCTGGATCTTGGTTCTTGGTTCTTGGTTTTTGCTGGTTCTTGGTTCTTGGTTCTTGGTTCTTGGTTTTTGCTGCTTCTTGGGTCTTGCTGGTTCTTGGTTCTTGGTTTTTGCTGGTTCTTGGTTCTTGGTTCTTGGTTTTTGCTGCTTCTTGGGTCTTGCTGGTTCTTGGTTCTTGGGAAATGATCCCATTTTCGTGTTTGAAAATGATCCCTCTACCATATTAGGACCTGTTCAGGGTGTGTTTTCTATTAGAATCCTTTCTTTTAGCTCTTGTCCTTCCTCTTCACATGTTTGACACTCTCTCTCTCTCTCTCTTTCATGCTTGTCGGCCTTGGCGCAATTTGAGGCGAATTTGTGGAACAAGTTGCGCAGCTAGAAACATACAACATCAACACTACCAAGTTGTGCAGTGAATCAGGAAGTTTCAGAAGCTCATTTTTCCTGCAGGCGATCTGGTGCCTTTTTGGTGTGAGCTCTGGCATTATGCAACTTTTAGACTGGAAACAGTTTTTTCTCTTTGCAAGGAGCTGCATTGCAGTCTATGTTGATCGAACGGAGTTGGCCCTAGCAGTGACCGAGAGCAGACTGATGTTGCCAGCCCCATTGTCTAGCTGGAGTGTGCCTACTCCACCTGTTCAAGTGGTGGCGCAAGGGGCGACTGTTCCACCGGAAGAATGGTCAAGCTCAGAGGACTGACACACCTTCTTTCCAAACTCGCGGCGCCCGGAGTAAAAAAGTGATCGTTGCTGGTAACATCATTGGCTTGCCACTCAAGATCAGTTGAGCATGTTTGCAATAATTTTGTTTCCACTTACATTTGAAAACAACAGTGTCGAGCTTGGCATGACTCCATCAGGCGGAACCAGGACCTCAGAATCCTGGCACCTGGAATCGTTACCACGCCAGCTTCATGGAGTGTATGCATGCCCGGTTCAAGCAAACAGACAGGAAAAAGACTTGCGATGTGTCATACATGAGTTCATGTAACCAATAATAAACCCACCAAAGTTTGCCAAATATTGAACCTTAAACGGTACTTGAATCCAGTCTTCATTTAAACATGAGGCTTAAAACTTCGAACAACAGAAACATTTTCTTTCTTTTTAGCTTTGCCGACACCAGTACCCATGTCCACGGGTTTAGAGTCGGAGGCAGCTTTCAGGGCGAGGGCCACTGAGATTGGATTGCCAGAAGACGCAATTGACCGCCTAAAAAATGGTGGGGTGAAAAGCTTCGGAGCATACACCTTTATTACCAGCTATCAGCCAGGTCAAGCAGATGAGACCCCGCTGATCACAGCCTTGACAGATACCATGGGCCGTGCACCAACAAATGCAGAGACCATTGCCTTGCGTAGATTGTTTTTCGAGTCCTCGACCTTAGCAGTGAATGAGTTCAAGCAACGTTCCGAAAGAGACGAAACTGCCGAACCAACCAAGATGCCAGTAGCTGAACGGAATGCCAGGTTGGAGGATCAGAAACAACGACTCCCAGGCATACACTTTAGCCCGGAGACTGAGCCCAGTCACAAATTGGTAGACACCGTTTGCCAGATGGCCACTGACCAGGCCCTGGAGTGGACACCATGGGAAAAGCTCACCAGCAGGAGCAGCGAGATCACCCACAGCCAAAAAGACTTGAAGTTCTCTTTGGATAGCCAAGGGTCAATGAAGGTTGCTGCAAAGATGCAAAGCCCTGACGCCAATGTCACAGGTGAAATGCGAGTCCGACAAGCCCTCAATCGGAGAGCCCGGGCCTTTGACCTTGCCCAGCTGTGCGCTTACACCACCATGGTGGCTTGGCATGAACGCATTTTTGAAGTCCTGCAGAAGGAGCCAGCTCCTAACGCAATGGCAGTCACAATGCACCAGTTGAAAGAGGCCGACAAGATGCTCTTCAGGAAGCTTGCTGAGAAAACCAGAGGAGCCTTATATAGCACAGCAACCGGATGGATCCAAGCCAATGAAAACCCATTTTGAGACATGCGCTAGCAATGCCGAGGTCCAGTTTTGCCTCATTCCGATGGTTAAGGGAGCACCGAGGGCCAATTCAGTGGGCCCCATCCCCTAAGCAGAAGGGGAAGGGTAAAGGAAACGGAAAGGTCAGAAAGGATTACACAAAGCCTTCCTATGGTGCTGAAGATTGTGCAGATCTTTTTCAAATCCTTCCGGATTTCAGCTGGGGCCAACCGGGGCTTGAGCTGGAAGACTGAAAAGGCACGGACGGCTTCGAAGGTGGGCCATTCGCAGTGCAAAGCCTCTGTCGCTATCTTCACCCAGCTGGCCATCCGGTCGTAGCAGTCATTGATGATCTGCAAGGTGACATCGTTGCCAATCGAACGAAAGGCACCTTTCGCCGATGGTCGAAAACCACCTCCCGCTTCAGCATTTGCAATGCCTTAGATTGGACTTTCATGACATTGAGACTGCCTGTTGATTGTCACTGACTGTCAATGACTGTCACTGACGGGTCAATTTGCCATCTATTTTTCCGCCAAGTCACAAAGTGCCTATACCCTTGCACCGAATCCGCTTTGCGGTTCACAAAGAGGCTGGTGATTCTGGAGATGAATCCATCGAGGGCAGCACGAAGTTGGGCCACATCGACCGTGCTGGCATCACAGAATCTGATCCTTAGTAAATTACTTCAGTCTGGACATTGATTTTTGCTGATTGTTATCTGTCATAATTGGACTGGCAGTGATCATGAAATTTAACATGGTTTGATGTCAGTAAATGGTTCCGCATGATATCAAAATGATGGCTCTGTGACGACTGTTTGTACGGACCACGCTTGACTTGCTGGAGTTGACACTGTTTTGGCATGAACAATTCCAGATATTTGCACGTCCCTGCCAGTGCGTCACTTCAGGAAGATGCCAAAGACGAAGTGTCACAGGATCTTGTCGTACTTCCTTGATGAGAGACTGAATCTCCTTGGCAGTCTGCAAAGTCTTGGTGACTGTCAGCTCCGTCAGGAGTAGGTTCACTCTTGCGCAGATGTGGACTTGGGTCTGTGTTGCAAGCCATTGAAGAGCTCCAAGTGCGGCTCGACAAGCTGCAACTTCTCCAGGTGATAGAGGATCTTTAGGATCTTGGCGTAGCCGTTCAGCACTGATTGTGAGATCCTGCAAGCTGTCGGCATAGAAGTCCTGGGAGAGCTGAATCCATCGCTCGTTGTTCTTCTCCATGACTTCCAAATCAATGCCAGTATGGCGGAAACATTGTTGCTTCATAGATCCCCATTTATATGCAGCATCGATTTGTTTTCGAACTTCCAACCATGCAGGATTGGACAAATCGCCAGATCTGTTGAAGTCATCCACATGTCGTCCACCATAGCCAATCACCATGTACTCGTCGGCTTTGTTCCGCGGGTTTGGATTCTTCTGGGTCCAGACCCAAAAACTGCTATCACCAATGCTGCGACGACCACCAAGTTGGGTGAACGTCCGGTCCACATCTTTCCACAAACCACGAGGTGCTGTTGCATTCCCGTAGATATTCTTCACCTATCTCAGCAGCTCATCATCAGATGCACCAAGCGCCTTCTTCAGTTCAGGGACGCCACTTGTGTAGAGCTCCTCTTGCTCCATCTCCTTCGTCCCTGTCTGCAAAAACGCTGTTGACATGTCGAGGCCTTCCAAGGTCCATCCTTTTTGAGCTGTCAAAAGAAGTGAAAGGTTGCGCATCAGTTGGGATTGCACAGGTGCTGATGAGCGAAAAGTTGAGCTCACCAGGTCTGGGTGTTCAAATCCCAGCACGACGATTCTTGCTTTTGCTTTGTAGTCGCCAGAAGGGTGAACAGCACTGTCGGGCTTCGAAGCTTTCTCCTCCAAAGCTTCTGCACGACTCTCAGCTGGAATCTGTTTCCAAGTCAATACCCACCTGGCACGTAGAACTCGGTCAGATTGTGGAGCACGTTTTGCCTCTTCCACTGAAAGACACCTGCGAACTGCAGCAGTCTTGATGAAGGAAGAAACTTCAGAGGCTTTTGCATGATCGAACAGCTTTCGATCCTCATCTGAAAGTTTGCGGTAGACCACCTCAGAGGAGTTGATCTTCTTCACCAGATAGGCCGAAGGATCCCTCAAGAACATCTTACGTTGCCGGTTAGAGGACCAGTCCAGCTCCAAGTCAAAGACGTAAGCTTCGTCGGTCTCAAGAATGGCCTGGTTGAGGTCCAAGTAGAGTCCATCTCCTGGTTCCTCATCATCGTCAGCCTTGAACTTCTTGAGATCAGGTTCGGCAGGACCTTTGTCATCCAACACCGGCTCGGCATTCTCAGCATTCTCGGTGTTATCATTCGCAGTGGTAAGAGGTGTTCGTGAAGAAATTGAAAATCTCCTCGGAGGGGCTTCAGGTGGATCACCATCAAAGATAGTCTCTTCAGCAGGAACTGGGGGAACGTCCTGCTCATAGTCAGGCGAGTAGCCTTCGGACTCGTAGTCGTTGACCTTGTCATCGCCAATCTCTTGTAGGTTTTAACAGCTTGCTGTGTTTGTAACAACCAATTGAGTGAGAGGGGAGTTGAGGGTGGGAGCTTCACCTCGGCCTTGGTGGCCATTTTGGCTCAAGGCTGGGGTGTTTTCATTTCAATGTGCCCAGGGCTAGGTGGGGAAGGCAGCGACGCAGCACCTGGTCCCTTCGGTCAACCGACCGAGGATCCGGGTGTGGACCTCCTCCTGTGGGTGCTGGTTAGCAATTACGGGCTGGGGGTCCTGTGTGGCTGGTTCCTCCGTGCCTTTTGGGTCCGGTTTGGGATCGGAAACACCCGAGCCGCAACCTTTCGCGTTGTGGGCCCTTGGGAAGTGCTTACATCCCGGGCTTTGCGCTTTGTGCGCCGTCGACGAGCGATCAGCTTGGCCTTCTCCAACCTCAGGGAAAGCTCCTTGCGCCAATCGGTGCAGAGCCGACCCAATCTGAGGAGGAGAGCTACATTGGCTGGTTCCGCAACACCAAGGAGCTCTACGAGTTCGGAACTTACTCCTTTGAGGGAGGGCCCTGCCTTGCAACATGGACCCAACCGAAGAGGAGCTCAACAACATGGAGACCATTGACGACGTGGCAGACTGGGCCGGTCTTGAGGGCCCTTTGAAAGAGGGTCTCCTCAAAGGTCTCGGCACCCCGACGAAACTCAGGGACATTGCATTCATCACACGCCCGGTGTGGGACGCAGCACTTGTCCTCCTGAGGGTACCGACAGCACCAGCCAATCCAGGCGACCCACCAGGTCAACGTGAACCCACACCAGTGGAGGGCTCGAGGCTGGAAATCTTTCGACGGGTGGTGATGCTCCGGATGCAGATGACGCCCGACACACCGGGGGATCCGGGTATACAACGCCCTGGGGTTGCTACAACTCCGGCACAGCCCCCGTCCAGTTCACAAGGTTCCCCAACGAGGAAGATCAAACTGTCAGTGGTCATTGACCCAACTCTGGACTCAGAGGTGGTCCAGTTGGAACAGACCGCTGTCAGTGCAATGTACGCCAAGTACAAAAGCAGGTTCGGTGATCACCCATCGCCGGAGGTTGAGCCGAGCATCGACCAATTGTCGGCTTTGGCACAACTGTTGAAGGCGAACGCCACGCCATACGCGGACATGTCACTGTGGGGTCCACATGGGCTCAGAACGCTGCGTAAAGCGGTGTTCAAGAGCTACGTGTTGAATGCGGCATCGGGGGAATGGAGCAAGAAAGAAGCCCCTGGCCCAGAGAGCATCGTCGCCTGGGAAAAGTGTTTTAAAACATACAAGGTGGCGATGGTGCTCTTGGAGGCTGCGGACCCCGAGAGGCTCGAGGCCTACATGGAACACGTCAAGGAGTTCCACAATCGCTTCGGGCCAGCATGCTGGGGGATCATATACCGTGCAGACACCCGCATGCGGTCCGAGTACATGGAGAGAATCCGGCGGGCGCTGGACGATGACCCACGGCATGGGTATACACCCGCCAACCCTTGGGCTGCCATCTTCGCGGAAGCGGTCCGGGAGCAAGATTTCTGGACAAGGGAAGTGGTGACCCCAAGCACACTGCTCTTGGCCCGCAACAAGTCCATAGCCTGTGGGCTGAGCTCGGACTCCTCGATCGAGTCGGCCCCAGAGCGGCCATCGCCAAAGAGGAAGAAGTCCTCGAGCCCGAAGCTCAAGAAGAAGAAGGCAAAGAAGAAGTACACGGGGGAAGACAAGAGCAAGTGGGACGACAACAACAAGGTCTTCTCCCTCAACCGCAAGGGCCTTCAGATTTGCATCAAGTTCAACAAGGGGCAGTGCGGCAATGGCAAGCCACAGTCAAGATGCCCCAACGGGCGCAGTCACCAATGCAACCTTTGCCTGGGTCCCCATCAGGCAAGCCATTGCAAGAAAGACTGACAGCGCCAAACAGGCGAGGGTGAGGCAGCACCTCCTACCCTTGCCGGTGACACTGCATCAGGTGCAAAGCGCTCCAAGCGCAAGAAACAGCCTGAGTCGGATCCCAGCGCACCGCCCGAAAAGAAAGGGCGCAAAGAAGAAAGCCCCAAGGAGAGGGCTGCGGCATCCTCTTCAGGGGTGAAGCTGGTTCCAAGAAACCAGAGACCGTCCAGGTCACCACTGCAAAGAAAGCGAAGGCCAGTGCAGGCCGCACCGCATCGGCAGGGGCCAAGCCAGCTGCCCAAGCCGCCAAGCTGGCACCCGTACCGGTACGGGGCGACAAACGTCCCGCCAGAACAGTGGGACCACAGGCCCAGGGCACTGCTGCTGTTCAGCGGCAAGTCCAGGGAAGGCGACATCGCCAGCTATCTTGCAGCAGGAGGATGGATAGTGGTGGTCGTCGACATTGTGGGCCCCACCACATGCGATGTTCTGGACTCCGACAATTACAGGCTCATTCTGAAAGAAGTTCAGGATGGCGTATTCGACTGCGTGGGTATTGCCACGCCTTGCGAGACGCTGTCACCCCTCAGGGAGAATCCCCCAGGCCCCAAGCCATTGAGGGACCTGGCTCATCCTGAGGGTCTCGGCCGTAAGAAGCGCTCAAAGGCCGAGCAACAGCAGCCCGCTCAAGCAAATCAGATGTTCGAGCTGTCTGCGGAGGCGGTCAAGTATCAGCTCAGGGCTCATCGGTCGTTCTGGCTGGAGAATCCTGACCATGGATCCAAACTTGACTTCTGGAAAACGAAGTGGGGCATCAGCATCGAGAAGCACGCACTGGTGCTCAAGGCGGCCTTCGACCAATGTATGTTCGATGCAGAGGTCACCAAACCGACCAAGCTGGCACACTTCGGCATGGACCTCACCGAGTTGAGAGGCATCAGGTGCACACATCAAAACCGCACCTGGACCAAGCCTGACGGCTCAGAGTACAAGGCCAAGCACGAAAGCCTTGTGCAGAGGTGGCGCACCAACGAGGGAGGCAACAAAGAAAGGGCGTCCAAGGCATTGGGAGCATACCCACCGAGGCTCTGCAAAATTATCGCAGGGGCCATGATGGGTGCAGTCCAGCCTAGGGCCAAACGGCTCAGAGAAATGAAAGCTGAGGAGCTCCCCTGAAAGGGGGGCGCTGAAGGTCCAGCCGGGCCGCATCTGGAAGACGCAAGGCGGACAGACAAGGAACTGGAAAATGAGGCAGCGCTTGGGGGTATGAGAAACCCTCGTGCTGCAGCAGCCAAACTCCCCAGATCCTTGATTGCAGGCGAGGCCATAAATGAGCTCCTCCTGAACGCAGCCACCCATCCAGAAGCAGTGCGCATTACAAAGGCACTTCTGGGGGGGCAGAAAACCGTGCCCCTCGACAAAGAGTTCGTCGAGAAACTCAGAGAGCTGGTGGTGGGCTTGCTGGCTCCGGCCGGCGTCCAACTACCCCAGAAGAGCACGAGGGCGTCAACGCCTATCTCGGCGGAGGTGCTTTGGGCCTGGGGTGAATTCACAGAGGACCCCGACGCCAAGCTGCTGGCCACCTGGCTGAGAGAAGGAGCCCCACTGGGCTATTCACAACCGATACCCTGCACAGGGGTATTTCCCAGGGTCACAGGACCACATTGGGAAGAGGAAGCGGCGAATCAGCTGGCCAGGCAATACGAGGGATGGAAGAATCACCCATCAGCTGACGAATGGCAGGAAGACCTCGCCATACTAGTTGCAGAGGCTCAAGCAAAAGGCTTCATCTCCCTGTTCGACACCATGGAGGAGGCCGCAACGTACCTCGGCCGTTGGCCGGTACTCAACAAGCTTGGCCTTATCGTGAAAGTGAAGGGTGACAAGAGAAAGGCCCGACTCATTTGGGACCTACGTGAATCAGGGGTAAACGGACTATGCTCTCAGGGCGAGAGAATCATACTGCCCAGGCTAACCGACGCAGCGGCAGATGCAGTCGCTATCCTCAGAGCCGGGGGCACACCAGTATTCTTCGCGATAGACATCGAGAACGCGTTCCACAATGTTCCGGCAGGGGAGGACAAAGCGTTCACGGCAGCTGCCATTGAAGTGAACGGCCAACAGAAAGTACTGGTGTATGACGTGCTCGTTTTCGGAGCAGTCTCGTCACCGACTCTCTGGGGACGCTTCGCCTCGTGGCTGGGCAGAACTTTGGCGGCCGTCAACCCGGCAGTGGCATGCCAGATCTATGTCGACGACCCCATCATGGTCTTCGACTCCAGCGACCCGAAGGGGGACAAACAAATCACGGTCAGCATCCTCTGGGCGGCCGTGGCGGGTTTCCCAATCAAAATGGAGAAGACAGAGTCAGGTCATTCAGTGAAATGGATCGGCGCAGAAATGCGCATATTACAGGAGGACAGGGCAGTTTCCATAACCATTCCAGCCGACAAGGTCTCGGAGGTTGTGGAACGCATCACGAAAATTATGGCGAGACCGGTAGTGGGCAAGAAGCAATTGCAATCGCTAGCCGGTGCACTGTCATTCTTCGCAAGCGTCGTCCCATTGATGCGCCCGTTCCTGGGGGGCATCTGGGCGGTGTTGGCGACTGATGATGGCCCTTCCAGGGCCAGAAAGCTCGTTCACACCAAACGGATTGCCCACTCCATGGAATGGATCCTCGCGCTATTGGAAGAATCGACTGTACCGTTCACTCGAGTGGTGAGGTCAGTCAAACCTAACTCAGGTGCCATAATCATAACCGATGCCTCGACTTGGGGCATGGGCGGAGTGCTACTCATGGGAGGGGCGGCCATCGAGTATTTCAGCTGCCCCATTCCCTTTCAGTTCACAGTGAAGACAGGAGCCATTCCCGGAATACCAAAACACATGGCACTCTGGGAGGCTCTCTGCCTGCTCTTGGCGGCTCGCATCTGGTTAGTGCGGTTCCCCATTGGCTCAGTGGTCCGTGTAAAAGCGGACAACATATCGGCCCTTTACCTACTCGCGAAGGGTAAGGCCAAATCACCCGAACTGCAGGTGGTTGCCAGGGAAATAGCACTCGACCAGGCCAAGGAGAGATATGAGGTCACTATACTCCAGCACATCAACACCAAGCTCAACATCACAGCCGACCCGTTGAGCAGACAACACGACCCAGTGCCGCCTCCTTTTCCTCAAGATCGCCTCGGGGAAGCCAAACGGATTCCCATCGAGGTAGGTCCCGACTTTTGGCAAATCCGTGAACTCGGACGCGGAAAAAGTGCGGCGGGTTACCTGAGGACGGGATGGGGGGTAGGCTTGTGGGTGTGATTGTTTTACTAGGTGTAGGAGGGTTGTCCGATCGGTTAGTTTTTCTCTGCAGCATTTTAAGTATGAAAAGGTCCGTAGGGCCCACATACTGGCAAAGGCCAGCTACTGCTCACGACGAGCCCAAGAAGCCTAAAGGGTTCAGGCCCTTGGCAGAAGGGCCAGTCATTTCGTCTCGTGCCCCCGTTGCCGATGGTATTGACAACAAGGCGGGAAATCCCGAGGACCGCCAAGTTAAACCATATGGCAGGGGATCCCTGGAGCTAGCTGTTCAGGCAGCCAGCTCCGGACCCCGGGAGTGCATGGAGCACATTGCCAAGCGGGCCCGTGCGGCTAACTCCCATGGACCAACATTGTCTAGGGAGCGCACCTGGGAATCCGTAGCAAAGGCAGCCGGGTACGATCGCGCTTTTGATCTCGTCCCCGACCTGATATATTCTGTCATGGGGGCCCTGGACAAAGCAGGGTACAGGTCAGCCGAACTGTACCTCGAAGTCGCGAAGCAAAGGCACATCGAAAAAGGGCAACCCTGGACGGCACAGCTAGCGCTAGCGGCTAAATGCGCCAAGCGTGCGTGCCAGCGGGGCAGAGGGCCAGCAAAGCAAGCTCAACCCTTGCCCTTGGCCGATGTTTCCACTCTCACCGACGTAAGCAACCCGCTTGCGCCAGGGGGCCCGGAATGGGCCGTCCGGTCAACGGTGCTTGCGTCCTGGTGGTTGTTGAGGGAAATTGAAGCCAGCAACACGCTGCTAGCGCACGTGCAAGTGGATCCTAGAGAAAAGTTAATAAAATGGAATTTGCCGTCCAGTAAAGCAGACTGGCGCGCGTTGGGCGCCACTCGCACCCACACATGCTCCTGCGCGGAGCAAGGAAGCCCAGCACTCTGTCCATACCATCTCATGGTGGAACAAGTGAAATGGGCCAAAGCGAAAAGGCATTCGTTCCTCTTCTGTACAGAAACCGGCGCTCAGACGACCAAGTCAGGCTGGGCCGGCACTTTTGAGGCGATTGCCCAAAAGCTGAAGCTGAAATTGGTCGGCCCCACTGGGCTTCGACTATTCACAGGCCACTCAGCCAGGGCCACGGGAGCCGTACACATGGCTCGCACCCAAATCGAACTTTGGAGAATCCAATTGTTTGGTCGTTGGGGATCCGAAATATTTAAACAATATGTAAGAGACGCTCCCCTCGAACAGCTCCATGGTTTGGCCCAAGAAGTTTCGCTCAAAGCATCCCTAGCATCAGCAAGGGCTGAGCTATCGGCCATCCTGGCGGCCACCAAAGAAGCCACGGCAGCCGCAACCGGCCTTGCCCACCAGCCGGTTGAAGCCTTGGCTGACTGCGAGGCGGCAGCAATCATCGAACCTCCGGCACCAGATCCACCGGAGAATGATGTACTTTTTGTTAGAAACCGCTCTTCGAGAGGCAAAGTACACTTGGCGGCACGCCACGGAAACACTTTGCCACATTACCTGTGGCGTACAAAGTGCTTTTGGCATTTTGCCCGTGGCCAAGCCGACTATGCCCTTCTCAAAGAAGAGCCTAACGGAGCAAAATGCTCTAAATGTTTCAAGCTCCCTGCAAATAACGAAAGCGACGGGAGCTCTTCTTCCTCTTCCCGGTCGCAGTCGTCAGAGTCGTAATGCGCTGCGCAGGTGGGACATGGTTGGCATTTGACTCATCTAGGAGTCAGTCTTTTACCAGTCCAGATTTTGAAGCCAAAGGCTATCCTAGCTGGACAGGTGAATCAAACGGCCAACCTGTTACAAAAGTCCTGCTCTGACGTTTTGTTATGCCCTTGCTCTCACGTTGATGATGGTTGTTGGTTTTAACAGCTTGCTGTGTTTGTAACAACCAATTGAGTGAGAGGGGAGTTGAGGGTGGGAGCTTCACCTCGGCCTTGGTGGCCATTTTGGCTCAAGGCTGGGGTGTTTTCATTTCCCCGCCCGCCCACACCAGCTGGGTAGGGGGAGTCAGTCTTTTACCAGTCCAGATTTTGAAGCCAAAGGCTATCCTAGCTGGACAGGTGAATCAAACGGCCAACCTGTTACAAAAGTCCTGCTCTGACGTTTTGTTATGCCCTTGCTCTCACGTTGATGATGGTTGTTGTGGATCTGCAGGAAGTGGTCGAAAAGACACAGGTGTTCCATCAGCATATAGAGGTCGACCAACGTCGTCCATTCGGTATTTGGAGTTGAAGCGCACCTTGGGACCAATCACGGTCTCAGTGTTGTGCTTGTCCGGCAGGAAGGGTCCTTCAACCTCACCATCCATAGGCTCCTCACCCTCGAGGTCCACATAGTTCCGTCGAGGAATCATGTCAGTGAGATGTTTCCAACGGTGAGATTCGTCACCTTGAGCTTCAAAGATCGCTTGTTCACGTTCTGAAAGAGGTCTGACACTGTGGACAGATGCGCGGTAGAGAATGTTGCCCAAGATAACCCACACGATCTGGCGTCGGTCTTGTTCATCTTGACCAGCCACCAGTTCATGGAAAACAACTCGGCCAGGACCAACCCAACGAGGTCGAGTGGTGTGACGATGTCCTCCTTTGCGACCCTTGTAAAGAGTGTGGGGAAGGAACTTCCTCCAAATCATCACTGGTTGAGCCATGCTGAAGGTTCGAACCGGCTGTCGGATCGAAGTGTTCCGCAGCTTGGACATCATCAGAAATGCCTTGGCTCTACGTGCATGTTCTTCAGCCACTTGTCGTTGAGTCAGAAGTCGTAGAAATTGATCTTGCTGACGCTCCACTGGAAGTGAAAGTTGTTGCCTCAACTCATCGTCACCAAGTGTAGCTTGATGACCAAAGGCCCATTGGATGCTACTGTATCCTTGAACAAACTCTGTTGAGTTCAAGGCAGCAGTTGCCAAAGCAATGGCATGTCCAGGCTCCATGTCGGGAGTTGATTTGTGAATCCTTGAGACAGCTTCTTTCAAGTGGCCGATGTTTCGTTCGACCACCCCATGTGCCCAACTTTCGTTGTCAGGTGGAGGCATCATCACAGCAATGCCCAAATCAGCCATCAGTTCGATGACTTGTTGAGAAATCAAGGTGTTGGCATTGTCAAGGATCAAAATCTTCGGACGTGGCTTGTCCATAAGCCAGCGGCTGATGAGGCGCTTGATAACGTCGTTGGAGGTTTCCACATAGGTCTCTCCAAAGGCGTAGGAGGCCAAAACTTCCGTCACACGGTAGTGTGTTGCCATGTCCATCAGAAGGATGAATTTGACCTTGAGGTTCTGTGTCGGAACCTCCCACTCGCCAATGTCGATTCCAAGGTGTTCCCAAGCCTGTGGCAGTGGTCGCAAGGAAATAGGGGGAACTTGCTTCGAAGACTTCCCACCTGTTTTCTGCTCCTCACAGATGGAACATCGATACTTCAAGGCTTCCTTCACTTTCCATTTCTCAACTGGCGTCGGTCAACATCCTCGCCAGATTTCTTGAGGTAGGGGTGTGACCCTACTTAAAATGGGCGTGTAGCGCAGAAAAACAAAACAAAAACCTGGGATGTATATAGTAACTGAGACCACAAACTTTGAATCTTTGTTCACGTCTTCAGCTGGTGTTTGAATGTTTCGAAGTGCGTTTTCCATGAGAACTTGAGATAAGAAACGAATCTTGCTGTCGACATTTTAGAAGTCTTTCTCCAACCGCCAGTTGGGCTCGTGGGCAGGTCAGGGGTAAGAAGGCTGCAAGGAGCGGGGTGATGGGTCGATTTGGGTGGTGACGAGGCCGGATAGCCACAGTTCCTGTACCCCCACCCCACGCATCTACAAGAAAATGACTACAGTTATGGGCTTTGGTTGTTTTCTCATAGGCTGTTTTCTATGTTTTGGTTTGGTGTCATTTTCTAAGATCCTCAAAAGACACCAGTACAAAAATTGTGACCGGCATCTTATATTCCTTTCTGCAGCCTAGTGCACCAAAAATCCCAAAAACCAAATAATAAAAACAACCATTGAAAGGCGTTCACGGAGATACTATGCACTTACTGAGTATTCTAGCAGGGGGATTACCGATTTTTTTTGTGCAGGCGTTGCCCTGCGCTGCTTCGTGGGCAATGGCAACATCAAACCAGAGGCTGGGCCAGATTTGAAACCAATTTTTGACTGACGGTGCGATGCATTGATCTTCTGACTTTCTGTCTGACTTGTGCATGGACATCATGGACCATTTCACGTGCGAAGTGTCTGTAGTGTACAGTAGTGTTGCTCGGCAGGAGCTGTTGCAGGAGCTGTGTGATGAGCTGTTGGGACTTCCGCGTTGCGCTGGCTCAAGCATTGTTGTAACTGCGGCTCCATAAGCGACGTGCGAGACATCCATATTCAGCGATTAGGCAAAACCAATGCAGCTGCTGCGGGTGCTCCTGTGCCTGCTGCACTTGGCAATGGCTTCCAAGGAGGGATTGTGGGACAAAGACGGATTCAGAAACTCCGCCGGATTCAGAAACTAGGGATTCAGAAACTGCTCGTAGGATTCAGAAACTGCACGTCGGATTCAGAAACTATTTCGTGGGATTCAGAAAATACTCGTGGTATTCAGAAACTGTTTTCGTCGGGTTCAGAAACTACTGGTTGAATTGGATTCTAGGGATCCCCCAAATTCATGGGTTCGCATATGAAGTGGGCTACTTCCGGTATGTGATCTGGGGTGTATTTTGGGCAGCCAGCAGGTGGACCTAAACTTGAACTTATCATGAGGGATCAAAACTGCCACCCCCTCTGGCCAATATCATGAATCGGATCTTAACTTCAACTGATCTTCATGAGGGATCCAAACTACAACCCCCTATGGAAAATATATTGAAACGGATTTAAATACAACTTATCTTGATTAGCGATCAAAACTGCCACCCCCTCTGGCCATTTTATTAAATAGGATCTTAACTTGAACTTCTCTTCATGAGGGATCAAAACTGCCACCCCCTCTCGCCAATTTATTGAATAGGATCTTAAATTGAACTTATCTTCATGAGGGATCAAAACTGCCACCCCCTCTGGCCAATATAATGAATAGGATCTTAACTTGAACTGATCTTCATGAGGGATCAAAACTGCCACCCCCTCTGGCCAACATATTGAATAGGATCTTAACTTGAATTTATCTTCATGAGGGATCAAAATTGCCACCCCCTCTGGCCAATATCATGAATCGGATCTTAACTTCAACTGATCTTCATGAGGGATCAAAACTACCACCGCCTATGGAAAATATATTGAAACGGATTTAAGTACAACTTATCTTGATTAGCGATCAAAACTGCCACCCCCTCTGGCCATTTTATTAAATAGGACCTTAGCTTGAACTTCTCTTCATGAGGGATCAAAAATGCCACCCCTTCTGGCCAATATCGTGAATCGGATCTGAACTTGAACTTAATGAGGGATCAAAACTGCCACCCCCTTTGGCCAATATACTGAACCGGATCTTAATTTGAGCTTATCTTCATGAGGGATCAAGACTGCCACCCCTTCGGGCAAAATTATTGAATCGGATCTTGACTTGTTCTTAATGAGGGATCAAAACTGCCACCCCCCCTGGCCAATGTATTGAATCGGATCTTAGCTTGAACTGATCTTGAAGAGCGATCAAAACTGCCACTCCCCTCTGGCCAATATATTGAAACGGATCTTAACTTGAAATTATCCTCGCTGCGATACTCCTTTCCTTGCTCAAGAAGTGGGATCACCCTTGAAGAGCTGCGCGGATGGGAAAAAATCAAACCAGCGTTCTGTGGTCGTATTCCGGGGGTTTTCAATTCCAGGGTTCCAGTTTCCGATTATATATCAGTTTCCGAATGCAACTCCCAAGTTTCCGAATACCACTCCCAAGTTTCCGAATACCACTCCCAGTTTCCGAATACCAGTTTCCGAATACCACTGTCCAGTTTCTGAATACCACTTTCCAGTTTCCGAATAGCACTTCCAGTTCCCGAATCCTAGTTTCCGAATACCACCTCCAGTTTCCGAATACCACTCGCCAGTTTCCGAATACCACCGTGACCGGGATTGTGCGCGTCTGGAGCTTGTGATTTGCCGCAGGCTGCGGATGAATGTGCCGCACTCCAAGTGAAGAACGTGGCCGAAAGTCAAGCTGATCCCAAGAAGAGGGTGGATGACACACTACTACCAAACATCACAACGGATTTTCTACAAGATGGCAAGGATCTTCAAGGCAACGAAGGGATCCCATTCAAAATTTGGAAGATCAAAAAAATCAAAGAAGCATTGGAGGGTCGTCGCCACCCTGCCGGTACCACTACCACTACCAGTACCACTACTGACCTTTGCTTGCTTTCTTCCATTCCAGATTGCCCCAGTGGCGATTTCACCTTTGCCTTCGAGAATCTCAATGAAACAGAGAATGGCAACTCCCCTGGACGTGTCACAGGTTGCATCAGCGGCCTGTCATGTGGAGACACAGATTTTCAAGCCGCTACATCAGTTCGGGTTGTCAGCAACACGGCCGGATACGGTCTTGGGGAGTATTTTACTGCAGGCAGGGTTAATAGATGGAACGTGAGTGACACATGTGAAATTGGGAACTTGGATTTTAGAGGAGATGGCCCGGCGAGCGGGAGCATTCGGCTCAGAGCCTTCGGCCGTGGTGACTTATGTGATGGTCGATGTGCTGCGCTTTCGACATTCTCCAGCATTCTTTTCTTTTGCGTGAAGGAGGTTAAATTGACATTCAAGTACAATCCTTGAGTCTGTGAGAGGCCAATTTTTGATGCCTGCCGCAATCTGCAGACTCATAAAGTGAAAACACATATTGCTGATGCACCCTGCTTGTCGTTTTGATTCATCTTGGGAGAGATTTCTCATGATTTATCAGTTTGACCCCGAATTTCAATGCCACCAGCCTTGATGATTCAGTGCCATTCGTTGCATCCGCCCTGCTGCCAGGTGAGAGCACAACAGCTGCCTTTCAGCAGAGAATGGAACTGCTGTCTTGGCGTTCCTCTGCTCCTCTCCCACACAGGGGTTGTGAAAAGCCTCATAACCTCGACTTTTCGTGCCCAAATTCCTAAGATCTCTGGCAATTTCACCTTGGGATATTGATTTGTCAAGCTTTTTGGAGATGACAACGAGTGAATTCTAACGAAAGAATACGAAAGAAATATCGCCACCGATCCTGCCACACATATCTTGCAACAGATCGCTTCATTTTTGGGAGGAGTCGGGAGCACATTATTTTTGTAGCTTGAAGATGATTGAAGTGGATATTATTGTTGCCATTTTCTTTTGCTTCAATATATAACCTTTGGTTGGGAGCCACTAAAATCTTGCCCTAATCCAACAATTCATCAATTTCTCGCGAGTTCATAGCCAAACAACTCCCACGAAGGACATTTTTCCTATTTCATTTCCTCACAACAGGTTTGAAAAAGACAAGTCGCGGAAAATAGAAATGGTACTGGTATGTTTAGAACATGGTGGAATGTGCAACCACAAAAAAAAGGCAAATGGTGCTTGCGGGAGTGTTCGTTACCCTTTTTCCATTTATTGATGATTTTCACTTCGTACGCAAGGATTTAAACAGCCACATGTATCAACTTTGACCGGAGTGGAGTTGTTTATGAATCGTTGATGAACCTCCAGAAAGGCCCTACTAGTAATGCACGACCTGAGATGTGACGCCTGTGTTCCATGAGGGTATAGCCCACGAATCTATGTGGCTTATCTTCATGGTTGTTACACTTACAATGCCTGGGATGCGCATCCAAGTTCATGGTGGTTCATTGATGTTCATTGATGTTCAGTGTGGTCTACAATCGAAAAGGTGAAGCTGAACTTGTTCATCAAACAGTCTTGTGCAAACTGCAGAAACCACATGTTTCGATGGCCGTGGTCTGTGAGCTACTATGGTTTCATTTTGTGCTCCTTGACGCTGACTGAACTTGCAGGCTTCAACAACTATGCCTTGATCAATGATTGTCGAGTGTCCGAAGAATTTTTCTTTCAAGGGTTGGGTTGAGGTGGACACTTCGAGATTCCGGATTTGCATTTTCAGATGAGGTATGTAGGTTCACAGGTCGTTCAATTTCAGTCATGTGCATGTCTCTGAGTGTCATGTCTCGATCCTTGCATGGTTGTATAAACTAAAGGTATGTAGGTTCACAGGTTCACTTCGAGTTTTTTTTTTGGGGGGGGGTTTGTTTGGACGAGGTATGTAGGTTCACAGGTCGTTCAGTTCCAGTCATGTACACGTCTCAAAGCGACATGTTTGATCATTGGTTTTATAAACTAATCCGTCTTGAGTCATCCGGAACCATATTCAGCAGTGAAGATGTCAGTTGGTGGGAACAAGATTTTTCCGAGTCCGTGCGGAGTTTGCTCAAAGGAGCGCCGCCGTTTTGCAACAGCAACAGAGACTTAATAACCCACCAACACGTTGTGCACAGGCACTTGGATTTGTGCAACGGCACCTTAGGGTTAAGACCCTTGTTTTCAGCAAAGGCTGCATTGATACTTCCTTTGCAGTTAAGACTGCGACAAGAGTGTGCGAAGCAATGGCTTCACTGGTTGATAGTTCAGCGCACCTTTCAGCGCGTCTGAAGGAAGTGGGCCTTACTCAGGCCGCAGTTGACCTGATCGCACAAGCTGGGGTTGACTCGCTTTCGCGCCTTGCATTCACTGTTGGTCAACCCGGCCAACCAATCTCCAACGTTGATGTGGAAGCGTTCCTACACACTGCATTAGGAAGGATTCCTACCTTGGCAGAGTGCTCAGGATTGAAGCGCGCCACATTTGAGGCGCACACGTTCTTGGTAGCATCACTTCGACAGCAGGTTGAGAGGAGCGATGAGACTGCCCCTCGCAAGATTGCCTATGCTGAGCGCACTTCAAGGATGAACACGTTGAGGGCTGAGCTGACTGGCATTTCTATCCAGGGCGAGCTGGAACCAAGTCATAGGCTTCTTGACAGGGCATGTGCAATGCATGAACAAAACACTGTAAGGTATTTTGAACCCTGCACCTGTGTTTCGAGGGTGTTCGAGGTCCAAGGCGGGACCAAGACGAAGGAGCTCACATTGGAGAAAGGCTCGCTTGTTGTGAAAACGAATGATGATAAACTGCAATCAGCCACAGATACGGAGTTGAAGTTGCATTACGCATTTGTGCGTAGGGCGATTTCTCTTCAGTTTGCAAAGATCATGTCCTTTGCTGAGCACAACATTTGGGAGCAGTTCCTTTTCGATGCAGTTCATCGAGATGCACCTCCAGGATATGCCAAGCCAGGGATTAGCCAGGTGCTGCAGTGTGACCGAGCAGCCTTTTCTAGGCTGGCCACATTGAACACTCCTGTTCGACAGAATGAGGATGGCACCTACCCGTTTGGCATTGCACTCCTCCAACTGCGCCAAGATCCATCCATTGCACTGTACCTCAGTCCCTTGGCAAAACCTCAGCAAGTCCAGGCAACAGCTTCGACCAGACCTGCACCATACAACTATGAGAGGCCAGCTGCTTCAAAGGGAGCCTCAAAGGGCAAAGGCAAAGGCCGAAAGGGCAAAAACTCGCCACCCCTCCCTTTGGAGTTGCGAGGGAAATATCACCGTACATCAACTGGTGATCCTATCTGCTTCGCCTTTAACACGGCGCCAGGGTGTTCAAATACGCAGACGAAACCAGGCGAGAAATGCCCCAAGGGATACCATGTTTGCATGGAGCCCAAATGTCAGCGGCCGCATTCTTTGCTTGAGCACAGCCGAGGCTCCTGAAATTTGTTTTACAAGGACCTTGCAGGCCTCCATGTTGAGCAAATGTTCATGATCGAGGTCTTCGCTGGTGGGGCAGTTCTGTGTTCGGTGGCAAAGTCATATGGCCTTAACAGTTCCATCGCAATTGACAAAGTCAAGAAGCCGAATGCAAGGTCCACAGTCCTGCAACTGAATTTGCTTTTGGCAGAAGACAGGACCCTCCTTGAAACGTGGCTGGAATCTCCACTGCTGGCTTGGGTGCACTTGGCGCCCGTTTGCGGGACAGCTAGCTTCCCGTACACAAAACCTTCAAAAAGGGCCTGTCGACCCACAACCTTTGCGCAGCTTGGACTACCCAGAAGGGTTACCCTCTCTGAATGGAGACGAGCTGATTCGTGTGGGCCTTGCAAATGATTTGTATGAATATTCATGCTTTCTCTTTTTGCGAGCTGCGGTGTTGGGAGTCCTTGTGACTCTTGAGAATCCATCGAACAGCTATTTTTGGTTTACAATCTGGCTAAGGAGCTTGATTCAAACGATACCAGTTTTTCATGCAGACTTCCAAGCATGCATGCTTGGTGGACAACGAGACAAGTGGATCAGAATCATGGCCAATTTCAGCGGCATATCGCAGCTGAATATCAAGTGTGACCGGCAGCATGTTCATGCACCTTGGGGCAAAACCAAAAATGCAGATGGCAAACTTGTTTGGGCGACGGGCCTTGAGGCGCAGTATCCACGAAAGATGTGCGTAGCATTGGTTGCATCAGCTCTTCAGCAACTCACCTCGCAAGGGCTGAAGATGCGACCCCAGCAGCTTTCAGAAATTGCTGTGCATCCCTTGATGATTGCACAGCAGGCTCGCATTGCAGCTGGCAACCAGCCCAGAGCTGCCAAGATACCTCCTTTGGTGCCAGAGTTCCCCAAAGTCGTGGTGTGTCGCCTTAATGTTGCTTCTCCTTGCCCTCTTCTCTCCAAGACTCCAAAGGCAATCCTTGCCAAAAATGAACGCATGCAGGATGTAACAGTGCCAGCTCATTCGCGTTTTTTGCGTTGTACCCAGTTGCCTGACGAAATTATCGGGGTGGAAAAAGGTCAGGTGCATGAAGCAAAGAAGCCTAAGAGAGAATGTGCAGATGCTGGATGGCCATTTGAAGCCGCCTTTGGGCTTCCCTGGACCACTGAGGATTTTATTTCCAAAGCGGCTAGCAATGGCCACCCCAGACACTTTTGCAACCAAGTTCCGGCTGAGTTGGAAGCAGCCATTCAAAAACATGCTGGGTTGACAGATGTGCAGATGAGTGGCTTGAGAATTGCTTGGTGCCGAAAATGGTTGGCTAGGGCAGCAACCCTTGAGAAAGCAGAGGCCGCTGATAGGAGCACCAGGCCTGTGCATGTGCAGCAAGCCACCAAGGACAAACGCTTGCTGCTGACGGCTGAAATACTGGCCGATATGGGCTACGAAGACAGTGACGCTTTGCAGCTGCTACGTGGAGGCTCATCATTGGCTGGGGAGATTCAAGCCACTCCTGTATTCAAGTCTCAATATAAACCTTGCATGTCTACAATGGCTCAGCTTGAGGCCGGGTCGTTCCAGAGGAACTCCATGATCCTTTCCATGACGAAGTCCTCTGGCAATTCTGAGATGGATGAACAGATGCTGAAGGAAACAAAGGAAGAGCTTGACCGTGGATGGGCGCGTGGCCCCTTTGCTTTGCATGAGCTTCCTCCAGGCAGCGGGTGAGCAGACGGTTTGCCATCAGGCAAGGAAGTAAGGTGAGGATGATAGATGACTTCTCCATCTCTGGGATCAACGAAACATGCATCACGCATTGCAAGGTTGACCTGCATATGATCGACACCTTTTGTGCTGTGTTGAAGCGCTACTTTGACGTGCTGGGTGGCGGTGGAGGCTCTTGTGAATTGGTTGGCAAGACTTACGATCTCAAGTCTGCATATCGTCAAGTGCCGATCAAGGAATCCCACTTGAAGTATGCCTTCTTCTCTGTGTACAACCATGAGTTGGGTGAGCCACAGGTCTACCAGTTGCTGACGCTCCCATTTGGAGCGACTCACAGTGTGTACAGCTTCCTGCGCCTCTCCAGGATGCTTTACAGTGTGGCCACGCGTTGTCTATTCTTGCTCACGACCAACTTCTATGATGATTACATTTTGGCCAGCCGGCCTGCCCTTGCAGAATCCTCCAGCAGCTCGATGGAGCTGGTGTTCATGCTCACTGGCTGGCAGTTCGCCAGAGAGGGCAAGAAGAGCACAGCATTCAGCCGAACATGCAAGGCTCTTGGCGTTGAGTTTGACTTCCACAGGTCCGAGGCGAGACTTGCTTCAGTCTGCAACACTACTGCCCGGGTCGAGGAACTTCTTGGGCTTATTGACGCTGCCTTGACATCCAAGGCCCTGACTCGCCAGGAGTCCCTTGTTTTGCGAGGGAAGCTCGGTTTTGCCGACAGTTATTTGCATGGCCGTCTAGGATCTTATGTTCTTAAGTTACTGGTGGAACATGCATACGCTCCTGGGGTTCAGCTTGGTGCTCAGCTTGGCATGGCCCTTCAGTTCATGTCCAGGCGCTTGCGAGAGAACGCTCCTCTCATTGTCTCTGCGGGGCACGCTGCAAACTGGTACTTATATACAGATGCTTCATATTAACCTGACACGAAGTCAGGTGGCCTTGGAGCTGTACTGGTTGACAATGATGGAAAAGTTGCAAAATGGTTCGGCGTGGTGCTACCCCGTGATGTGTGCCTGAAACTTAGAGCAGCTTACAAAGACACCATCATCTATGAACTTGAGCTTGCAGCAGCTGTCCTGTCCTTTCATGTGTGGGCATCGGACATTGAGTCTGGGATGCAGGTGTGGTTTGGCGACAATGATGCTGTCCGTCATGCCTTAATTCGAGGTGCTGGTGCTGGCGGAGTCGCGGATGTTTTCATTCAGAGCTACCTTGAGGTTGAAGCTTCCAAGAACCTCACAACCTGGTTTGCGAGGGTTCCAACTGAGGCCAACATCAGTGACTGGCCATCCAGAAATGAAAGTCATCCTTTGCTTCTTGAACGTCACAACTGCCGAGACGATGCGGTAGCAAAATGGCAAGTTCTTCTACAGCTTGTGGAGTCAAAGCGTGATGGTTTGTTGGGGAGGTGAGATCAGCTTCGACCCCAATTGCCTTTGGAAAAAGACCGCCCTGCTTGCAGATTCAACACGGCCACAGTTGGAAGAAGACGGTGAAGCTGAACTTGTTCATCAAACAGTCTTGTGCAAACTGCAGAAACCACATGTTTCGATGGCCGTGGTCTGTGAGCTACTATGGTTTCATTTTGTGCTCCTTGACGCTGACTGAACTTGCAGGCTTCAACAACTATGCCTTGATCAATGATTGTCGAGTGTCCGAAGAATTTTTCTTTCAAGGGTTGGGTTGAGGTGGGCGCTTCAAAAAATTTGAAGCTTGCCAAAAAGCGCCCACCCGCCCACACCATTTTCTTCTAACCAGGCCAAACCCTCAGCCTGGTGAGATCAGCTTCGACCCCAATTGCCTTTGGAAAAAGACCGCCCTGCTTGCAGATTCAACACGGCCACAGTTGGAAGAAGACAATGTGATCTTGGTCAGCATTCAAACATGTGGTGACTTTGGAGTTATGACTCTGCCACCCGGAAGCCATTAGAAATCTCTTTACGGGTCGTGTTTCATGGCGGGTCCCTCGTGGTGTCCCAGGACCCGGATGATCCGCAAAAAGCGGGGGTTGAGAAAAACGGGGTACCGAGGAATGCCGAGGAATATGAATGGTTGATATTGTTTGACTCTCATAGAATTGCTAGGTCCATGAAAAATGGGGTTCTAATGAAGTTGATTTTCATGATTTTTGCATACGGAACCACAATAAAGAACTTCACCATTGACAGTACAAATTCGCCCCTGAAAACACCAAGCGTTGCTCTTTGTGTCCCATGAACTGAGCCGCATGGGCCTGCATCAGTCAGGAAGTGTGGTTTCAAGGGGCGTCCAACGGTGCACAGTGCGCCCGCGAAGCAACAAAACTTGCATGCGTGGCTCGGGTGATGTACTGGATTAGCTGCAAACTCGTAAACACTGGTCAGATGTAGTGCCATCGCCCGTTGGGTGACTGACAGTGTGCAAAGAATGGACTGTGACTGGCTACCTTGTGGTAACATTCACACGCACAACTTTGTCACACACTCTCTTTCACACGCAACTTTGTCACACACTCTCTTTCACACACAACTTTGTCGTACACCATCTTTTGTCACACACTCTCTTTCACACACAACTTTGTCCTACACCATCTTTTGTCACACACTCTCCTTCACACACAACTTTGTCGTACACAATCTTTTGTCACACACTCTCTTTCACACACAACTTTGTCACACTCTCTCTTTCACACACAACTTTGTCACACAACTCTTTCACACACAACTTTGTCACACACTCTCTTTCACACACAACTTTGTCACAAGCTCTCTTTCACACACAACTTTGTCACACAACTCTTTCATACACAACTTTGTCACAGACAATCTTTCACACACAACTCTTTCACTCACAATTTTTCACACACACACACAACTCTTTCATTCACAATTTTTCACACAACTCTTTCACTCACAACCTTTCACACACAACTCTTTCACACACCACTTTCTCACACACAATTCTTTCACACACAACTTTCTCACACAAAACTCTTCACATACAATTTTTAAAATGATTGACCCTCCACCATCTCCTTTGTCCTTTCTTGTTTCTCCGTGCCGCTTCAACCACTTTTTGTGATTATTGGAAGAAATTGACTTGTGGGGTTATCGGGTCCTTTAATTATTCACTTCAGGGAATCTCCTAAACACTTCACAAGGCACATTGCTTTAATTCAAACATTAGCCATAGAGACATGCAACACTGCATATAAGCAAAGATCAAGTATTTTGAATACTGACAGTGGCAATCATCTCAACAGGTTTTCTGCTGAAGTCGCTTAGGCAAGGATGAGTTGAAGGTTCGCATGGCCAAAAACTGCTAGACGCATCTGGAAATGGGGGAAACCCGTTGCGCTCAGAGAAAAATGGCAGTGTACATAGAGCAGATGCAGGTTTGGAACTGTGCAACGATCGCACACAGGGAGAAAAAAAATAGATGTTTCGGATTCCGGATGGGTGAGAAAGTATCACAGAAGTGGGGCGATTGCGGCGTTACGATTCTCGGTCTCGCAGTCTCATTTCAAGACGGAAAAGATCCGCCTGCAACATGAGCGATGCTTGGTTGTGTATGTTTTCCTCACGCAACTGGATAGGCCCCAGTCTTGGCCACAGTTCGAATATGTTCGAATCAAGTCTGCAGTGGTTTAAGAATAGTGCCGGCTTTTTGACACGTGCCAATGGACAGCCCATTCCGGAGAGGTGCTGTTGGAAATTTCCTTAGACAGTGCATTTTTTTGTTTTCGTTGAAGGTGCAGATGAAACACAAGCACGAAATTATCATTGGTAACTGGAAGAAACGAACAATGTTTCGTATTACCGCTCATGTCCGGCCACCGCGGTTGATCAATCAATTTCTAGTACCAGTTTGGGCCGACTGCAAAGGTAGCACATTTCACAACGGCACGCTGCTGTTTTTTCGCTCAAAATTTGCATTGGGACAGTTTTTCTCTCAACAATTTCCGCCTTGTGACATGTGGATTAGAAAATCTTGATAGTCACGATGTTATATCAGATTCCGTTTGTCAATGTCCGAGCAATTCCCTCCTGTGATACGATTTGGATGGATTGTACATCTGAAATCAGACTGGAAGGTCAAGCAGAAAGTATTTGCATTTTAGTTTTTAAAAGGAGAGACCATTGCATTGTATCATGCAGAGTGAGACAGCAATATCTTGTTGTGTTTCAGCACAGTGACGAGCAGCAACCTAATGATAATGTTTCAGCACAGGCGGGGGTGTGACTTCACCCTGACCGTTCAACCCCGAAAGGTTTTGTTTAAAGTGAAGTGTTTCGACTGCGTTCGACTCATTTCGACCAAATTGGCGCTGTGTTTCGGTTTGCCGCACATGTTTTCCAGCCTTGACAGGCTGGATGCATTTCGCCCAAGAGTAGCAGCAGCATCATGATCCCGACTCAGACCAAAACATGTTTTTCCCCAACAGCAAAACTTTGCTATGGGGTCTTTAGCCCAGATTAGCTCTGGTGCGATCCGGTGCAGCTTCAACACCAGGTTCCGGGCAAGGTTCCGGAGGGTTCAGGGTTGCGGTGCAGATACCTGGTGAGATTCCAGAGGGTTGCGGTGCAGATACGTTGTGAGGTTCCGGAAGTTTCCGGTGAAGGTACTCGGTGAGGTTCCGGAGGGTTACGGTGAAGATGTTTGGTGGGGTTCCGACCTGGTGACGTTCCGGAGGGTTCCGGTGAAGATGTTTGGTGAGGTTCCGGCGGGCAGTGTGAAAAAGAAGCTGAAGCTTTCAAGCTGTTGGGGATAGCGCCGGAGTTTATTTTTGTTGCGTCATGAAATGTTAAAAAACACAACTGTCAAAAACCATCTTGTTGATATTGTTGCAAAGGCATGGCTTTCTGCAAACATGTTCTCCCGCAATGTAAGTGGATTTGGGCATGGTTTCCCTTGTCCTCATATTGTCATCAGATTGTCAACCATAGATCTACGTTGTTAATCTTCCTTTCCTCCCTTCGCCATAATTTGTCATATTACAGCTCCCATCCCCGTTATTGATGGTGATTTCCTCAAAAATTTCAATGTTTGACTGCGTTTATGTTTTTTTTCACTTGCATTTGATTATGTGGTCGTTCATTCAATCCAATAATTTTGATCTAATCATCAATCATCCCAAAGTTATATAGACCCATTATATCATATCCGTTGTATCCTCCATTGAATCCATTTCATTGATAATATTGATAGTGATTTTCCGCGATTTTCAGTTCTTGAACACTTTTTGACTTTTTGATGGTTTAAAACTGGCTAACATGATGATCATTTCAATGGATAAATCAGCTTCTCTCCCATGCACCCCGTCTTGGTCCCGTCTAAGGAGTCTAAGGAGCTCAGGAGGCCTGCAGCTGGTTGGAACATATTTGGAACATATTTGGCCGTACCCATATTTGATATTAATATGAAGTAGATGTTGATATATGATATATGTAATTTATTAGATATGATTATGTTATATTATTCTCAAATTGCATCCTAATTTTCTCATGTCGGCACATTGGTTTTCTTTGCTTTGTTGTCGGAAGATGGTTGGGGCAGGTGCTTCGCCAAAACGTGTTTCCGAGGAGCGGTGTGGCGGGTTGTTGAGGTTGCCAGTGCTACGAGAGCACTGCAAGTGGAGAGTAGAAGGAGGTAGAGGAAAGGAGGAAAGGTATCAGGTCCGGGTTTGTTTCACTGTTTTACTGTTTTTCATTCTAGATATACTATACATGGGTCGACAAACACTTAGAACATCATTTGGAAAACGCTCCTCCAACATTTAACAGGGTAGATGTTCTAAGTGTGAAGTCGGGAACCACACTTAGAACATCCCCCAAACATCCACACTTAGAACATCAATTTGTACATGATGATGTTCTAAGTGTTTGTCCACGAAACTAAAAGTAATGGAAAAAGGCGGGGTGAGTATAGGAATGTTTCAACCAGTTATTTAAGCTTTGATGTGCGTAGAACAGAATGTGTGGGACAAACCATATTTTCAGTGATGACTCCATTTCTCCTCAGCCAGAAAGACACTTATAACTACAACATCAGACCACCTTTCCCCTGTCAAAATGCATGTTTTACGTGTTGATGTTCTAAGTGAGGTGTTTCTTGATTTTTGATGTTCTAGGTGATACACCTAGAACATCCCCATCTTGATTTTTGTGGTTTTTCCCAGTGTGTGTGTGTGTGCCGGCGCATTTGTAAAACGCTTGATGTTCTAGGTGTATGTCGACACACACACACACATGTATATATATATATATATAAATATGTAAGCATAACATATGTAGTATATATATATGATACTCTATGACACACACGTATATATATATATATTATATCTACGAGACATCAACATGTTTTGGCATTTTGCATCTTGTGGGTCCTCTGGCCGTCGAGGCCACAAGTAAAAGCTCGGTCACAGCCGAGGCAGGGGTTGAGGCATGGGGGTACCATAAAATGGACACCTCCATATTGATTCATGGTTCCTCTATATTGATTAATCCAATAACACCTCCATATCGAAATGTTACTTGGATTTGCTTTGATCCCTTCCGAAAAGAAGACATCTTGGTGGATGTAGGGGATGAAATCGCATATTAGGACCTGTTCAGGGTGTGTTTTCTATTAGAATCCTTTCTTTTAGCTCTTGTCCTTCCTCTTCACATGTTTGACACTCTCTCTCTCTCTCTTTCATGCTAGTCGACCTTGGCGCAATTTGAGGCGAATTTGTGGAACAAGTTGTGCAGTTAGAAACATACAACATCAACACTACCAAGTTGTGCAGTGAATCAGCAGGTTCTATGAAGTTTTCATGAGTTTCCTTGTCTTCTGTCAACAAGGCACATCTGTGCCAGGACGACTCCAGCTCATCAAGTGAAAGTGAGCATGAGGACTGTATGCAGATCATTGCAGATCCATCATTTACTGTCTGCAATGCGAAATTCGAAATGCCACCTGCATCCTTTCACCTGTGACACTTTTTTTTCTCGTTGAAAAACAAGTTTCTTATTACGCCCCGCAGGTGTCCATCATTGATCATCGTGTTGTCATTGTTGCAGGATGCAGAGACCGTACAGAGCCAGCTCCAAAGAGTGCGTGTGCCCAGAAAGTAGAGGTTGTTGACATCAAAAACGAGACATTGTGGGGGAACTTCATTAAACTTCATTAAACTTCATTAAACTTCATTAAACTTCATTAAACTTCATTAAACTTCATTAAACTTCATTAAACTTCATTAAACTTCATTGCCAACCTTGTTTTCCATCCTTTTTTGAGAAACACAATCGGCTGGTTGCTTTTTTCCGGATGCAAAAGTCTCAGCAAAAGCTCCAGCGGCTGGCTCTCCGAAGGCGATCGAAACATCCTCCGGTGGATGGGATGCCCAAGGCTAACCCAGCAAGCCCACCTTGAAAACACGTTTTAAGCTGGTGATGAGGTGATGTTTTAAGCTGGTTTTTTGTTGCCTATGTTTTGTTGCTCAGAAAAGGAAGACCAAACGAAAAAAAAGAAAGGAAGGACGGGAACGAGCGCGATCCAACCGCATCCATGCTGATTCCGGGCATGGGAGATTGGGACAGGATCTCATTTAGTCGGCAACCTTGCCTCAGCATCATGGTCTTTAATCGCGATAAGCGAAGGAAAGCGAAAGTAAGCGCAGGAGAACCTAGAATGGAGGAAAATCCCTGACCATTGAAGGCACTGAAGGAACAATGCCTATGAAGGAAGAGGAGCACAAAGCACTCATAACCTGAAAAGGCACAATTTTTTCTACAAAATGGATGAGAACCTCTTAATCTTATGTACAGGGGACTGGAATTTAAGGCTGGAAAAGATTGATCCATTGACATGCACCAAAAGGCGTTCATCACAACTTCTCAAGCCTCCTTGGAACTGTGTCTTATTTGTTTGGAGCAAAACCAGCGGTTTCAGATTACAGTCCGTATTTGAACTTGGTCGGCATCCGCACTAGACCGCACGAGACCACACCAGGCAGTACCTTGTCATAACACAACAATCCACCACCGCAGTTCAAGAAATGCTACCAAGAGTGTCGATGGAAAAGGCAAAGACGAGCGAGAAGAAGGCGGCGAGAAAGGAACGCGAAGCCAAGGCCAAGAGAGAGAAGGAAGACAAGGACAAAGCCGCCAAAGAGAAGGCGGTGGCCGAGGCGCGAGAAGCCAAGACGGCCGCTTTCACGGCCTGGCCCCAAGCGGACGCGCAGGCCATGCTGGACAAGGTCGAAGAGGCCAAAGGCAGCATCGGCTTGATGTCGGGCCGCTTCAAGAAGGAGGAGCTCCTGGCCCTTGACATCAAGGCTGCTGCCCCTCAAGCTCCTGCCGCACATCCCGGAGGTGGAGACAGCTGTGGCCGACGTGATGAAGATCGGCGACGAGTGGGTGCCGAACAAGCAAGCGAAGACGGTCCTTGTGTTCACGTCGTGGAGGTGGCGGCAGATGCCTGCAACTTTAGGGCATCCCAGGGTGAGCCAGCAGCGGCGGCCAGCGTCAAGGCTGCGAAGTGAGCCGGCGATGGTAGATGGTGTTTTGTAGAGGCGGCCGGGCGTGTACAGGACGGCCCCTGGAAAAAAAGCGACGACGTAGGGCACGAAAGTGTTTCCCTGGCGTGTCGCTTGATTGTTAAGATGTTGCAAAGGTAGATTGAGCAAGATTCACGTGCCGCCAGGGACAAACACTGTAGCAACAGCTTGGTAAGACTTGACCTTTAGACACTGCCGTGCATCTGCGGATCGACCTGATCTGATTTGCTAGTGTAAAAAAAGGAGCGGCGCCGAAGGGCCAAGTGAATCCACGGGACTCTTTCAGATAGTCTGCGGTCGGGCATTGCTTCGCTTGCAAAGATGTAGTTCCTCTTCACAAAGCTGTGAAAGGCAAAGGTCGGCACATCGCTCAGAGGCAAAGGCACTTGAGCTGAACGCAGTAGCCATATACTTGTCTTGCAGCGGGTGCAGTTTGAAACTTGTTTCCGTGTCTGCAGCCGTTTCCGACAAGTGTCTTGTGGACATCAATTCACTACTTGATCATCCTCTGCTGCCGGCCACGGCTCCGAAGGCGCTTGGCGGCGCTGGCAACAAATCCGCCCAGGACCATGTGGCTGGCTTGTGACTCCGTGGTGGAACAGTGGAAGAGGTCCGTCAACAACTGAAGATGGACGGCTACAAGGCAGGACGAATCTCCCAGCTCATCGAAGCGACGCCGCCCTCAGAGGAAGACCGGCTGCTGCCGAGCGCTGTCGCTGCTGCGCTGAAGAAGCCTGCGGCCTCACGTCCAGCTGCTCCCCCAGAGGCCGGGGCATGTTGTAAGCATATTGAATCAAAAGAAATATCCTTGCGTTTGAATTGTAGTTTGCACCTGATCGTGTTGAACCGGTTTTATATTCACTTGCTGTTTTCTTGTCGGTCGAAGCCTCAGGCGGATGCCAGTGACGGAAGTGAGGACAGCGATGAGGAAGCCCATGGTGGAAGACGGCGACAGCACAGACGCCGAATCCAACAGCAGCGATGACGACCTCAACGTCCACAACTTCGTTGCAGAGTTGGAAGCCGCATTGGAAGAGGAGGACAAGAACAGGGCAGACTTGGACCACATGGACAGCATGGCCCTGCCCGCGTCTGCAGAGGCCGGCGAGGCAGCTCAGAAGAACCGCTGGACAACTTGGGGGCGCCTGGTGCTGAGGAGGAAAGCAGCGAGGAAGAGACGGATGAAGGGCAATCGGAGACCGAAAGGCCCTCCGTGGCCGCCTTCAAGCGGCAAGGCAAGGCTTTACCCTCCGCCGCCAGCGCCAGGGGCAATGCGCCTCAATGGTAAGCGACGGCCAGCAGCTGCATACCTTGCTGCTGGAGTGGCCTGGCCGTCGCAGAAAGTGCTGAAGAGACCTGCCATGTTGAAGCGGCCTGCGGGTAAAATAGGCCCCTGGCCGAACGAAGAATGCAGGGGACACGCAGGGGCCTCCTGCCAGTTCAACCCAACAAGCCCTGGAGAACCAGCCCGCGTGCAGCCAGGCCGAGGAGTCCACCATTGCCTTTTCTGCAGAAGGGAACGCACGCGGGAAGCACATGCCGCCCCGAGGCGCGGCACGCGATTTGCATATAAGGGTCTACGAGCTAAGAGATTGCTAGGCCAAGCAGTAAGCTCTCTTTGTATTGCATTGTATCCCATGATGCTGCTAAGGCCATGTAACCTAGCAACCGCGCTGTCTTCAATTCTGCCTTGGAGAGGGTCCAGCTGTTTGTCGGCGAGGCAGCTGCAAGAGAGTATCGCAAAAAGGCAGAGCCCAAGGAAGCGTGGGAGCCACATCTGCTGCACAGAAAGTCAGTGTGACACTCAATGAGAAAGAGGGGTTGGAGTACGAGGCGCAGGTGCGCAGAGACCAACGGGTCCCGCGGAGAAAATTCTTCTTTCCTGAGAAGCTTCTTGCAAGAGCAGGTGACGACGCAGAAGCAGCAGAGAAGGCGGCTGTGACGGAAGCCTGTGGGGAGGTCGGGCACGTGGCTCGCAATGACACGGACTTGCCGCGCCCAGCGGATGACAAGGGCAAGATGATTGAGAGTTGGTGCAAGCACCTGAACACGTGCCGGCCCCTCTGCGAAATTTGAAGCCGCGGGTGCTACAAAGCCGTTGGAGACTGACATCGGCTTCGTGGAAAGGGTCCCCAATGGGTATAGAGTTCACAATGCCATGATGGCTTTTGCATGGAAGGAACGCAGTGTGGAGACAGAAATTGCAGCACTGCGGAGGCGCCGGGATCGGCGAGCGGCCAAGGAAGCCTTTGAGTTCCTCAGCGCCTACACAGAGATCCTAGAGAAGCACCAGGAGTTCCTCAGCAAGTTCGGCAATCGGGTTCAGAAGCGCAAGCGGCCCCTTCGATCCATCGAGACCGAAGGTTTAGAGTGTTGCTTATGGCCGCATCTCTACTGGCACCGCAACCTCTGCGCAACGGTTGCTCGGGCATCCCACGAGAGCCGCAAAGGAGTGAGGCTGCCGCAGAGAAGAGCAGCAGACATGAGCAGTGATGAGGAAGAGCCTGCGGCTGCAATGGATGAAGAAGAGGATCAGGACATGGAGGCTGAAGACGCATGTGTGTGGTGGATGGATTCTGGATGGCACAGCCCTGTGTGGCGAGCGTATGGTGCTAATTGACTGTTTTAGAATGAGGATGATTTGGTGCAGAATGGTTAGCCCGTTAACCCGTTTTCTTTTTCTCTTTTTCTTCGCTTAGAAACATGTTTTGTCCGAAACCCTAGAAACAGAAAATCTTTGCAACAAATTAGCTGCTGCTGCTGCTGCAGCTACTGTTCCTCCTGCTGCTCCTGCTGACCATCCCTCAAAAAGGCGGCTCCCGGCAGGGAAACACCATGTTACTGAAGGACGACTGCTACTGCTGCTGCTGCTGCTGCTGCTGCTGCTGTGCCCACAAAGACACGGCCCTCCCGGACGCGGAAACTGTGCCCACAAAGACAGGGAAAAAAGAAGCGGCACAATGGGAGACAAGGGGAGACAAGACCCCCGAGAAGGCGGACGCACCATCCAACAAAGGGAAACAAAATGGGAGACCAGGGGGGACAAGACCTCCGGAAGGCGGACACACCATCCAACACCAAGGCGGACACCTTAAGAAAGCATTAAGAACCCCAAACCGTACACTGTTTGGGGAAAACATTACGCTACCATAAGCCCCAGATAGCAAACGATATTTTTGGGGGAGACCCAAGCGCTCGCCATTTTTACGACGGCATAAACTGGGAAATAGGCGAACCAACGCTAGGAAACGCCGTGAAACACCGCCTGAATCCCACCTGGCAAACTTTCCGGATGCCCTGAAGATGATTTTGATCCCAGGCCAAAGCTGCGCCAAAGGTGGGGAAATCTGACGGCTGAAGCTGAAATTCCGAGGAAGAACATGGAATGAAGTTGCATAGCAATGAGAATCCGACTGCTTAGCTTTGTTGGAACCAGATTCAGATGTGATGTGATTGGGTCAGATTTGTTGCGCTGTTTATGGTTGCTGAACCATTCCCTGCAGTCACCATCCTCGCCCAAAGCGAAGGCCAGGCACAGCTCCGGCTGGATAGATTGAAGATTTCAGATGGCAAAAAGCACAAAAAGAAAAGTAAAAACATAATCCTCTTTATATATATATACATATATATATACACTATATATATATAAACATACATACACGATTCAAATATAGATACACTATATATATAAGCAAATAGACAATGAATATCTATACTATATGTACATTTTTTTTAAAAATATATATCTACATATCTACATACATACATACATACATGCATACATACATACATACATACATTCATACATAGATACATGGATGCATAGGTACAAAGAAACATAGATACATAGATGCATAACTACATACGTACATACGTACATATGTACATACGTACATACGCACATACATAGATACTTAGATACATAGATGCATAGATACAAAAGATACATAGATACATAGATACATAGCTACATAGATACATAGATACATAGATACATAGATGCATAGATACATAGATGCAAAAATACATAGATACATAGATACATAGATACATAGACACATAGATACATAGATACATAGATACAAAGATACATAGATACATAGATACATACATAGATGCATAGATACATAGATTCATAGATGCATAGATACATAGATACATAGATACATAGATAGATACATTCATAGATACATACATAGACACACACACATACACATATACACACACATACATACATACATACATACATAAATACATTCATACATTCATACATTCATACATTCATACATTCATACATTCATACATACATACATACACACATACACACACATACACACATACACACATACACACACATACATGTATATATCCCACTTCCATCCGTTTTCGGTTTTAAACATCCCATTTGCACGCCACCTAGCATAACTGTCAGCCAGAATCGATCAAAAAGATAGTTGACTTAGTTTGACGGGCTGTTGAAACATTGAAACATTTGCTATGAGTTTGTCCAAGAAGAAGTTTTGCTGAGGTCCACCAAATTGCAAATTAAATGGAGTATACTGATATGGTATATGACCCTAAAAGAACCTTAAAACAACTATGTAAATAGAACATGTGATGATGACTGATCATCTTCCCAACATGGACAGAACCCCTCATTCTGTCAGGCCAAAGCCTCAAGTTCAGCAGCTTCCAGCTCATCGCAGGCCAAACGAGACACGTTTCGTGTGCTGGTTGATGCCTTTTTCGGTGACCTTACGCCACACATCAGGTATTGAAGCCGCCCTCTCCAAAGGCACAGTTCAGAATTGCAGAGGGAACATGGAGAGATTTGAATAGAGTCAAAAATGTGGTGCTTTTATGTGTTTTTCGTGTCGAAGATTGCGATGTGTGTGGTTGAGCCAAGTCAGTGGCAGGCTGAGAGGAGGCCGAGAAGTGGACTGGAGGAAGCAGGATTAATCGAAGACACGCTGAGGAATGAAAGTGCCAATGCGATTGAGAAACATTTGGAACAGCAGAGAAGTCCTCGAGGCGTAGGTCTGAAGTTGAATCTGGGACGAATTGCAACTTTGAACTTGATATAACTGGTATATATATAACATAACATAACACAACACAACATAACATAACCATGATATAATATAATACAATATAATGTAATATAATATAATACAATATAATATAATATAATACAATATAATATAGTATAACATAATATAATATTTTACAATATAATATAATATAATATAATATAATAATATAATATAATATAATATAATATAATAATATAATATAATATGATATGATATGATATAATATAATACAATATAATACAATATAATATAATATGATCTAATATAATACAATATAATAAAATATAATATAATATAATATAATATAATAATATGATATGATATGGTATGATATGGTATGATATGATATGATATGGTATAATAATATACTATAATATGATATGATATGATATATAATAATAATAGTAATAATAATAATAATATATATATATATATATTCCTAGTATGTGTGTGTACTGTAATTTGGTTCAGATTTGCTGCAGGCGATCTTCAAATTCGTTGGTTCCTAAAGAGCTGCAAGGCCTTCAAGCAGGCCGGGGGTTCCCTTGGATCCCAAATGAGCAGTATGACCTGTCAACTAATGTCAACCTTCGTCAATGTCAAGCCAGATTTTACCCCTGACCTCTTCGTTCAATTGGCGGAGGTTACCATTGAAGTACCTGATTATCACTGGGGGAACTTGTGGGTTTTTGATCAACCAGGGTAGATGTTAATCCGGTGTTGGCATTGACCATTTTCACCAGCCAGATCAGGGTTTGTCTGAAATAAGTTACCTCAAAATCCATTGTTAAATCACCATTTCCCTGATCAACATCACTATATTTTGGGGTATACAAATCCGAAAATATTTCATGGACGATTTAGGGATACAACTATTTTAGGAAACCCCCATATAAATACCTCAGTATGTCCAGCCATCATTTTGAATATTGCCCGTTATATCCCTATGATATTTAGCTATTTTTTTAAAGGTATTCCCCATGATTTTCCCATCAACCATGATGTTACCCATGATTATCCTCATCATTATTTGTTTTTCCCCATATAAACATATATAAACATTATATCTATGGTTTATATCCTTATGATGTTATCTCCTTATATAAACATGATATCCCCATCATTTCCCCTATAGAATCCCCATGGCCCCCACCTTCACCGTTCTGCCTCGTCCAGGTGCCGACTTCGAAGCCGCCAAGGTGCGACGTGCCGTCAAAGCCGCGGCCCAACGCGTCAAGGCGCGGGGAGACATCTGGGGTGCCACATTTTCAGTGTCCGTTATTTTTTTCAAAACTATCTATATTCAATGTGTGTATATATGTGTATATATATATATGTATCTATATATATGTATATATGTATATATATATGTATCTATCTATATATATATATGTATCTATATATATGTATATATGTATATATATAGATACATAGATATAGACATACATACATACATACATACATACATACATACATAGATATAGACATACATACATACATACATACATACATACATAGATATAGACATACATACATACATACATACATACATACATACATACATACATACATACATACATACATATACATACATATACATACATATACATACATATACATACATATACATACATATACATACATATACATACATATACATACATATACATACATATACATACATATACATACATATACATACATATACATACATATACATACATATACATACATACATACATATACATACATATACATACATATACATACATATACATACATATACATACATATACATACATATACATACATATACATACATATACATACATATACATACATACATACATACATACATACATACATACATACATATATATATACATATATATATATACACATGTATCTATATACATATATATATATATTATGTGTATACAGATAAAATATAATGTATATCATTTAGTTATCCCAGTATCCCCCACGAGCTGAGACGCACCTATTGAACGGCAATTTTTGAGTCAGTGGGGTACCTCAAAGCCTTCTTTGGATGATTTTTGCGTCCCTGAGTTTCAGAAACCACTTAAATGTGGATAAATGAGATCCTTTGGAGTACAAAGCTAAACTCTTGGGAAGTAAGCCCATACGCTGGACTGAGGGCAGGTGGTTGTGATCGTGCAAGGCCCTTCATCCTCACTTTGTGAGGCTCACAAGAATCCCCGTGCGAAGAAGAAGGTGACTTCAAGGCCGTCTCACAACATCCATTTTTATCGTGCCGTTGCACACGAAAGATAGACATGGAAAGGGTCTGATTTCGTGGCCACAACATTTTTGCAGCAAACTTCACAAGCTTCACAAGCTTCACCCTGATTCCGTGTCCAGATCCGAACTTTTGGCATGTCTCTTCAATGCGTTGGGCGGCTACGTGACGAACTATTTGAGTCGCACGGCTGCCTTGGCCGCTGGTGGCACCTGAATGCCACAGTTCAAAGCGACCCACGACCAAGGGGAAATTATGAGTAAGTGGTGGATCTTGGGGTACCCTATTTTCAACAATAATGGTGGTTAATAGTGGTTAATAGTGTTATGAATTTGATCGTGGTAGTTTTGATGTCGATGTTGGGGAATTAAAACCTGAAAAAAAGGTGACTAAAAGGTGATCAGCAAAACCTGGAAAAAACGTAAAAAATGGTTAATGAGATATCTGGTTGGTGGTTTGGAACATGGCTTTTATTTTTCCATTCAGTTGGGAATGTCATCATCCCAACGGATGAACTCCATCATTTTTCAGAGGGGTTGAAAATACCACCAACCAGTTATCCTATTTTGAACAACATGATTATGAACCAGTGGATCTTGGGGTACCCTATTTTCAAGCCATGACAAAGATGTGTTTGTGAGGTGATGAGAATTATGACATGCGATTTGGGAGCTGCTTGAAGGATGTACACACACATATATATATATATATATATGTATATATATACAGATACATTTTTTTTGGGCGCAAAGATACACATAATCATAAATACGAAAACACATAGACAGACACACGGGTACAAGTCATCAATACAAGGTATGGATCAAGGAGTCGGGCTGACGGAGGACCAAACTCCCTGATCTGTAGCTTGATCCTATGCATATAGATAGGCAGACAGAAACTAGATAGAAATAATGATAGATAGTTAAAACAATAGATGTATAATGATAAATCAATGATCATTCATGTAAATGCTCATTCTTTTCCTTCGCAATGTGTGTGCATATTTTCTCACACATGTATCACATTTGGGCAAAACTCATGTGATGACTTCCGCCTGAGGTAGCAACCAACTATTGAGAATGGCTTGGCTGCTGGGGTTCGAAGGTGGTGAAGCAGAGTGGGACAAAGAGTACGCCGTTCTTTGCCGGTCCTACAACTGGATCCTTGGCATGCATCCAAGGCACCCACATGTTGTGCACCACTGTGTGGTGCAACTTCCGGTTTCGAAATATCACTACAGAAGATCATGGAACAGTGCTTGGCCCAATGTCTAGTTAAGATTTTTTTTCGAAGTCTTTGCGTTGTCAGAACACTTTCCTGACAAAGATTCATATGTGACCAGCTTGAAGCGTTTCGTCGCGAGTTGCTTATGTTGTTTCGTTTTTCGTGCTCGCCTTGTGAGATGGCGAAATCTTGGCGAGTTGTCCCAAGTGAAATCTGAGATCACTTTGCAAACGATCCTGTCAGATTTTCATTTTTTTTGATCATGATAATCATGTGATCCTTGTATACATTGAACATCTTTGCAAAACTGATGACCTGTAGGAATGCAACCCTTGGTGCAAGTCGCCGGAGGCTTAATGTCCACAGCACGGTTTCCATATAGGTTTTGAAGAAAACAAGGTGCAACAGTGCTACAGCAAAAATTGAGGAACTGACAACATCAGTGTTTTATGGCATTTTGAAGGATTGTAGAACCCCAATCTGTATCCCTCAACATCTGGAGCAGTGAGGCCGTCAATTTGCAGAGCTGCTGGCTGATGAAGACAGCTGCTTGTCTCCAGATTGTCAGACGAATGCATTGTGAATTTGTTTGGCCCAAAGAAGGAAGGATAAATCTGGCAACGCTGAGAATTTATTTGGAATAGAATTTGGGTGTGAAACCAATATGATTGTGAAACAACATGTTTCACATATAATCGAAACTTCATATTTTCTGCGAAAACAATGGATGTTTTTCAAACAACGCAGATTTTTTGATGTAAACCATCACAGCCATCCCCGTTTTGACGTTTCGTTCCAGGTGACGCTTACAGCAACGACATGGAGCTGGCCACGATGCTGTCGAACCTCCGTGTTCCAGCTCCAAAACAGCTGCCACGCGACGACCTGGTCAAGGATCCCACGGTTCGTGGAGGGTAATATGTTCGTGGGGGTACCCACATTTATGGAAACCCCCATATTAGATTGGTTGATATGTTCATGATTACCAATTATATATTATAATTAGTTGGTTAATATGATTGGTTGATATCATTATTGCATATTATTACTATATGATTGGTAATATGAGTGCTTGAGCTTATAATATGGCTGAACATGATGAGCAAAAACAAGTGGGTATCCCAAGTTTGACACATTAGTGAGAGACTGTCCACAGCATTGTGAGCGACTGTGATGTCAAAATGTACCCTCTGGTAAACTAACACAACTATGGGTAAATCACCATTTTATTGGGTAAATCAAATATAAATGGTCATTTTTAATAGCTATGTTTGTTTACCAGATCGTACCATTCTGATATGGTGATTTGATGTCCCAGGAACTTTGGGTTCAGCCAATAAGATTGGGAGATTGGGGAAGCAACCGCTTTTTTTGGGGGTCATCCAGATCACCTCTGAAAATATGTCTTGTGAGGATAAGCCCAACATGGAACTGGTGATATCTTCGGCCATATTTGAGTCCGATATTCAGAATGGTAATATCCAATTAATATGGTAATGATGAACATCCATATTTACCATTATATGGAAATATCCGATATATATCAATTCAGGCCACATAATCAGATGAATATCTTATCTCATCTCCTACTGTGATCATGAGATATATAATATCTCATGATCACAGTAGGAGATGAGATGAGATATTCATCTGATTACGTGGCCTGAATCTGCGGTGCAAAGTCGAAAAACAGGTCAGGCCATGGCAAAACACGGACGGACACGAAAAAAACACATGGAACAACATGTGCATAAAGTGCACCATAAATCACCCGTTTTTAGTTGATATCCCAATGGCTCACAGGTTCAATTGTGATATCACAATTTTTTAGAAGTTGATATATCCTCTGGTCCCATTATAACCTCCATTTACAATGGATTTTCCATAGCTATGTTAGTCATAACCATTTGGTAAGTTGACATCCCATAATTTTCTGTGTCGTCATAGAACTCTGTAGCTGATGCTCCAGGAGTTCTTCATTTGGGCTGACATCAACAGAAATGGCAGGCTCGTGGGGAAGAAGTGAGCTGATGTGGACGCTGATCAGATTATGAAAGCGTGAACAAAATATGGGATTTTGTCTAAACATGGTGTGTAAATCCCCAAAACCCAGTGCTTTCCCCGGGAAACAAACTGCATTGGTGGAAATTCAGAGCTGTTTGGAACAGTTTATGTTACCGATCATCTTTAAAATGATGATTTACCATCTGGTTATTTAGCATAGCCATGGTATAGATGGCCCATTAATACCTATTAAAAATGGGTGGATTTTCCATGGCAAACTGTTAAATAACCAGATGGTAATGGGGATGTTATTGGAAAATGGTAGCCATTTTCCGATATTTCACATGTTTTTTCCCGAATGCGTAGCAAGGGTTCCCGTTTCACTCTGGGGGTCTGGGGGTTGAGGGTGTGTTCGCTAGACGTTGCGTTTGTGGTCGCAACCGTCCGCAACCGTCCGCAACCGTCCGCGCGATCCCCGTATGGCCGTGCCTATGGGAAGTTTTGCAGAGGTGGTCCTTTTTGGAGGTTTCAGACGTGTCGTTGCTTCGTTTCGCGTGGCAGGCGTGGCACTTCGTGACATTCAGACGTGTTCTGCAACGTGTCGAAAGTCCTTTTGCGTGGCAGGCGCAATACTTTTGCGACGTTTTCAGAAGATGTGTTGCAGTTTTCGTGGCAGGCGCAGCACTTTGGACGTGTCCATCGTCATTTTTCGTGGCAGGCGCAGCACTTTAGACGTGTCGTGTTGCGTGTTTTTTGCAAATCGCATTGGCAGGGCTGCGTCAAGTGGCGACAAGGTGCAAATTCCGTGGCAGTCGTGGCATTTAGTGCGATGTGCTGAAAATTGACGGAAGCCTCGCACGAAACATCGATTTTGAGGTTGCAAATTTTCAGGTTCTAAGGAAAACTCGTAGGAAAACGTCGATTTTGAAGCTACAAAGTGTGAAAAGTGGAGGAAGTCTCGCACGAAATGCCCGTTTTGGTGCTCGTACGTGTCTCGTCTCGAGTCTCTGGTTATCCCGTGGCTTCGCCGTGTCTATGGGGGAAGCTGCAAAACCTGTCCTTTTGTCACGTTGCCAACTGTGAAAATTGCCGGAAGTCTCGTATAAAATGCTGGTTTTTCTGCATCCACGTGTCTTATCTCGAGTCGCTGGTTTTCCTGTGGCGTCGCCGTGTCTATGGGGGAAGCTGGAAAACCTCTCCTCTTCGAATGTGTCCAAGCAAGTTGTCATGCCGTTTTGCGTGGCAGGCGTGGCACTTTGTGACATTCCAACCTGTTTGATAATGTGTCGCAAATGTCAAAATTGGAGGAAGTCTCGTACGAAATGCTGGTTTTTCTGCATCCACGTGTCTTGTCTCGAGTCGCTGGTTTTCCTGCGGCGTCGCCGTGTCTATAGGGGAAGCTGGAAAACATCTCCTCTTCGAATGTGTCCAAGCAGGTTGTCATGTCGTTTTGCGTGGCAGGTGTGGCACTTTGTGACATTCCAACCTGTTTGATAATGTGTCGAAAATGCCAAAATTGGAGGAAGTCTCGTATACGAAATGCTGGTTTTTTCTGCATCCACGTGTCTTGTCTCGAGACGCTGGTTTTCCTGTGGCGTCGCCGTGTCTATGGGGGAAGCTGGAAAATATCTCCTATTCGAATGTGTCCAAGCAGGTTGTCATGTCGTTTTGCAAGGCAGGCGTGGCACTTTGTGACATTCCAACCTGTTTGATAACGTGTGGAAAATATGAAAATTGGAGGAAGTCTCGCACGAAATGCTCGTTTTGTTGCACCCACGTGTCTCGTCTCGAGTCTCTGGTTTTCCTGTGGCGTCGCCGTGTCTATGGGGGAAGCTCCGCACTCCACATTCTACACTTTACACTCCACACTCCACAATTTACACTTTAGACTCCACACTCTACACTTTACACTCCACGCTTTACACTTTGCACTTTACACTCCTCACTCCTCACCTGAGACTTTACACTCCACACTCCACACTTTACACTACACTCTACACTTTCCACTCCTCCCTCATCACTCTACACTTTACACTCCACACTCCGCACTCTACACTTTACACTCCACACTCCACACTTTACACTACACACTCCTTACTTTACACTCCACACTTCACACTCCACACTTTCCACTCCACACTCCACACTCCACACTTTCCACACTCCACACTTTACACTCCTCACTCCACACTTTACAATCGTCACTTTACACTCTACACTCCGCACTCTACACTTTACACTCCACACTTTACACTCTACACTCCACACTCCACACTCTACACTTTACACTCTACACTTTACATTTTACACTCCACACTCCACTCTACCCACCACACTCTACACTTTCCACTCCACATTTCGCACTCCACACTTTACACTCCTCACTCCACACTTTACACTCCTCACTCCACACTACACTCCACACTCCCCACTTTACACTCCACACTTCACACTCTACACTTTCCACACTCCGCACTCCACACTCCACGCTTTACTGTGCACTCCACACTCCACACTTTATACTTTACACTCCTCACTCCACACTTTACACTCCTCACTTTACACTCCACACTCCACACTCTACACACCACACTCTACAGACTCCACTCTACACTTTACGCTCCACACTCCACACTTTACACTTTACACTTCACACTTTACACTTCACACTTTACACTCCACACTTTACACTCCTCACTCCACACTTTACACTCCACACTCCACACTTTACACTCCACACTTCACACTCCACACTCCTCACTCCACACTCCACACTTTACACTCCACACTCCACACTCTACACTCCTCACTCCACACTTTACACTCCACACTTTACACTCCACACTCTACACTTTACACTCCACACTTTACACCCCACACTCCACACTCTACACTTTACACTCTACACTATACACTCTACACTCCACACTTTACACTTTACACTCCACGCTTTCCACTTTACACTCCACTTTACTACACTCCTCACTCCACACTTTACACTCCACACTTTGCACTCCACACTCCACACTCTACACTTTACACTCCACACTCCACACTTTACACTCCACACTCCACACTCTACACTTTACACTCCATACTCCACACTCTACACTTTACACTCCGCATTCTACACTTTACACACTCTACACTCCCCACTCCACACTTTACACTCCACACTCCTTACTTCACACTCCACACTCCACACTCTACACTTTACACTCCACACTGCAGACTGGTAGCCAGGGAAACATGTACAAGACTGTTCAAATAAACTATTGCAGAAAGGTATTGTGCGTGACTGCATAACCATGTGTTTTGACATCTGTACCATTAACATACGTGTGAGCATTCGGGTTCGTGGGCTTCATCTTGTTTTCTTCCCAAATCCAGTGGGTTCTCAAAATTTCCGAACAGAAGTGGCGATTCATCAAATCCAGTGGTTGATGTTGCCAGATTTTCCCAAGTTTCCTCAAGATGTTCAAGAAAAAATTCGCCAGATTTTTAAGCATTTCCCTACTTCTCCGGCAGCCTTGCGGCATCGCAACGGGGCTTTGCTAGGTTGGGCCGTGGCGAGCTGCTGCGTTTTGCCAAGCACCTGGGGTTTCAAGGCACCTCCAAAGACTGGGACAAGGACTCCGCACCATTCCGACCTTCATTAAAAACACGCTATGAAAAATGATCGTTTAATAGATATTGATTGATTCGGATGTTCCCCCCCCCTTGTAACAGCCAAATAATGGATTTCCACATATCAGAGAAGCAAAATGAAGCACCAGGAAAATAGCCCAGAATGACATTAACTTTTCGGAGCCTAGGTAAGAAATTTCATCATTCCATTTGGTGCTTTCTAACCCTTTATGTCTTGTTCCCCTTTTCCTTGGCATTTGTTTCATCATGTGGCTCGGAGTTGGTGTCCAGCTCATCATTCTTTTCATGATTCTCCCTCCAAGAATCCTACCACCATATCACATGTCATTCTCTAAGGTGCTGTCCTGTCTCCAATTCTCTCATTGGTCTCCCCCCCAGAGTTACCAGACTGGGATCCCCTGTATTGCTTTGACATCCCATTGCCTTGACATCCCATTGGCTGTGACATCCATTTGCTTTGGCATCCCTTTGCTTTGACATCCCAGACATGTGGCATAGGTTGTGTTGTGTGATCATTTGAATTCAAAAGTGATTTGGGCCATGGGCCGCATGGATCTGATTCTATGATATGTTGCGGTCAGTCACACGGTATGGTCGGCCATGCAAAATCCTCAACCCTAAATCCTAAACCTAAACTCATGCCAGTAAATCGGACATAGTTTAATGTTGATTGATGCAAAAATGCAAAGTAAAAATCAAAAAAAAAGCACAAGGAGAGGCCACAAACGGAGCACCAGCAGAGGCACCAGAAAGGACCAAACGGAGCACCAGGAAAGGTGCCGAAAAACGCCTTTGGGAGACAGCCTGTCCACGGTAAAGTTGGCCAATTTCGGCTGTCCTTGGCGCCGTGTGCGCTTTGCAAAAAAAAACACAATCAGAGACCACAAACGGAGCACCAGAGAGACCAGAGGTTTTGCCAAAACGGAGCACCAGCAAGTCCAATCAGAGAGCACAAACGAAGCACCAGAAAGTACAATCAGAGACCACAAACGGAGCACCAGAGAGACCAGAGGTTTTGCCAAAACGGAGCACCAGCAAGTCCAATCAGAGAGCACAAATGAAGCACCAGAAAGTACAATCAGAGACCACAAACGGAGCACCAGAGAGACCAGAGGTTTTGCCAAAACGGAGCACCAGCAAGTCCAATCAGAGAGCACAAACGAAGCACCAGAAAGTACAATCAGAGACCACAAACGGAGCACCAGAGAGACCAGAGGTTTTGCCAAAACGGAGCACCAGCAAGTCCAATCAGAGAGCACAAACGAAGCACCAGAAAGTACAATCAGAGACCACAAACGGAGCACCAGAGAGACCAGAGGTTTTGCCAAAACGGAGCACCAGCAAGTCCAATCAGAGAGCACAAATGAAGCACCAGAAAGCACAATCAGAGACCACAAAAGGAGCACCAGAAAATCAGCAAAAAAACTGTTTTTTCTAGAGATTTCCATTTACAATTGATTTTAATTGGCCAGCTTACCCAGCTCTCCCAGTACTACTTTGCACTACAAAGCTTGCACAAAGCACTTCCCAGTACTACTTTGTACTACAAAGCTTGCACAAAGCACTTCCCAGTACTACGTTGTACTACAAAGCTTGCACAAAGCACTTCCCAGTACTACTTTGTACTACAAAGCTTGCACAAAGCACTTCCCAGTACTACTTTGTACTACAAAGCTTGCACAAGCTACTTCCCAGTACTACTGTGTACTACAAAGCTTGCAAAAAGTATTTCCCAGTACTACTTTGTACAACAAAGCTTGCAAAAAGTATTTCTCAGTACTACTTTGTACTACAAAGTTGCACAAAGTACTTCCCAGTACTACTTTGTAGTGCAAAGCTTGCACAAAGCACGTTCCATCACTACTTTGCTTTGACAACCCATGCCTATGTTGATGGCACCATGGAGCTTCCGCAGGCGTAGTGGAAAAACAGTGTTTTCTGATTTGAGCATGGCTGTATGTTGGGACTTCTGATCAGAGATAAACTCAATTTGGAGCATTTTTGTGGTGCTCCGTTTGTGCTGTCCAGTTGTGGTCACTGTTACAAGGACGGGGAACATCCGAAGATATTGATAACGATATTGATAGATATTGATATGATTAGTCTATTATTGCGATATTAGATTATATATCTGTATATATATATATATATGTAGTGATTATAAAATAATGTTAATATCTATTCTTTTTGACTATGATTATTGATATTATTATGCTCTTATTGCTAAAATATTACTATTACTGTATATTATTGTATACTAATATTGTTTTAATCATCATTTTCATTTTGATCATTGTTATTGTTATTATTATTGGTATGATCATTATTATGATGATTGTAATTGTTAGCATTAAATCTTTTTGAAGCCCAGTTGTCAGTGTTGGACATGGTGACATGGTTTGTCTCAAAATAGGCTACCCATAATGCTTTCTATCCCATGGTTTAGAGCAGCATGTTTCATTCCCAAAATATATAAACATGCCCATATCATATCCCTGTGACATCCTGACATCCGCAAATGTGACTGGCTAATATAAAGTTGTGATCATTTCCTCATCAAATATCCCCACTCAGATTTCAATACCAGAATTCCGAGCCAAGAGTTCTCCCCATTACCCTCTGGTAATTTAACATAGCTGTTGAAAATGGTAATTTTTAGTGAGTTTCCCATTAAAAATAGGATTTTCCATAGTTTTTTGTATGTTTACCAGAGGCTGGATTCCCCCATCCCAATGAAATCTCCATGTGTCCATCCCAGGAGTACGAATACATGGCTCGCCGCTACCACTGGGGCACCTTTTTCAGCGGCTTCCGCGATAGCCGCGATGGCTGCGACCTGGGGCAGTTCTCGCGGATGCTGGCGGATCCTGAGGGCTTGTGCTTCTGCGACGAGGGAGCGCTGCAGGTCGCCAGTCTGGTTGAAGCCAGGGCAGGGCAAGGGTCCAAGGGAGAAATGATCATGTCAATGCCGGATTTTGCTAAACCATGGTTTAATGATGATTATGGTTTAATTAGTACCATTCCTAGATGATCTTCCCATTAACCATGGTTTATTAATTAGGGGGGTACTCCTCCAATAGTCATTTCATCTGATACTTTTTAATGGTACCCTCCCAATTAAACAATCGTTTGGGGTTTATTAATCCAGGGTTGACATTAAATCCCATTAAACATGGTGATGTTCAAGAGCAAACTCAGTAAAACTGAGGGTATGGCCTTGGTACCTGAACATGCCCAAAATAATAGGCAATTTTCATCGGAAAATGATGATTTTATCTATCGGAATTGAGGGTACAGTAATTGATCCTATTTGCAGGTAAACTCAGATTAATGGCGATATGATGGGATGTAATTATGATATAATGGGGATGAACTGGGAGATCCAGACACAGATAATTTCTGGAGTACTTTGACGTGATGTTTTTTTTCTTCAACGTACATGAATTGTGCATGCAAGATGAATCAAGAAATGAGAAGGGCAATAGAACAATTGCCAATATATAATATATCTGTTGATATCCCCATTATCCATATTGTATCCCATTGTATCCCTATGATCATCTGAGCCCAATAAATCCCATTGTGGTGGTATACTGCCATGATATCCCCATTGGAACTCATATCCCATCATTTTCCAGAGTTTCATCACAATTAACATCCATTCACCAACCATCCACCAACCATTAACCAACCATATTACAACTATATTATAACCAAATATCATAACCATATCATATCCATATCTGGTTGGTGGTTTGGAACATGGCTTTTATTTTTCCATTCAGTTGGGAATTTCATCATCCCAACGGACGAACTCCATCATTTTTCAGAGGGTTGGTTGAAACCACCAACCAGATATTAGAATCATATTGTAACCAAATATCATAACCAAATATCATAACCATATATCATGAATCATAACCATATCTGGTTGGTAAAGCCGTTGGTAAACATATATCATAAACATATATTATAACCATATCATAACCACATTAGAATTATATTTTCTATTATAACTATTAATCATAATCATATTAGATTTATTAGATTTTTTGTTGGATTTTCCATAGCTATGTTAGTCATAACCAGATGGTTGAAACCACCAACCAGATATTAGAATCATATTGTAACCAAATATCATAACCACATATCATAACCAAATATCATAACCATATCTGGTTGGTAAACATATATCATAAACATACCCATACTATACCCACATCATAATCACCGGTAGGTGGAGCTGGCGGAGTTGGAGATGGCCACAGGGCGACCCTACTTCTCTCGAATGCTGAGTCAAGAGGCGTTACGCGTTACGTGAACCGTAAGGGACGCCATGGTGAATGGGGGTTAATGGTTGATGTTATAGTGGTTAATGATGGTTAATGTGAGTTAATGGATATTAATGCATATGTGGTGTTCATTTCATGTTAATGGGTTATTTTTTTTATGTTATGGTTCATATATTAATGGATAGTTGATATTAATGGTCATAGATGTCATGTTATGACTGTTATGGTTTTCATGTTATAATGGTTAATGGTTTTCATGTTGTGGTTGATGAGACTTAAGATGTGTGAAAATCGTGGTTAGGTGTTACCAATTCATCAAAGGAAGTTTAGGGGGAGAAACTTCCGTGTTACGGACTTTTAGAATGTCAGGGAAAGAGTTAGTCAAAGAAAGAGTTAGTCAGGGAAAGGTTAGTTAGGGAAAGAGTTCATCAGGGAAAGAGTTAGTCAAAGAAAGAGTTAGTGAGGGAAAGAGTTAGTTAGGGAAAGAGTTCATCAGGGAAAGATTTAGTCAAAGAAAGAGTTAGTGAGGGAAAGAGTTAGTTAGGGACAGAGTTAATTGTAACTTTTAGACTGTCAGGGAAAGAGCTAGTCAAAGAAAGAGTTAGAATGGCATTGCAAGTGGTGCTGGCGGAGGAGTTGCCGATGGAGTTTTGAAGGAAGTCTCGCACGAAATGCGTTGTTGAGAGATAGCAGATGCACGAAACCCTATGTTTTTCCATACAAAGTCCGTCCCCGAACCTCGATGATCTACCTCTGCGGTGCGACGGGTGCGAGACGGTCTCGTGTGTGGTCGGATCATGTTCGGATCATGGGCGGATCTCGGATCGGTTCCGCATTGTAAATGGGGTTTCACCTGTGTTTCGTGCATGTGCGGTCGACAGAATTCCATTGTGATTTGCAACTGTAGGATCGTTCCCGCAATGTAAATGGGGTTGCAAGTGGTGCTGGTTGGAGGAGTTGCCGATGGAGTTTTGAAGGAAGTCTCGCACGAAATGCGTTTTTGAGAGATAGCAGATGCACGAAACCCTATGTTTTTCCATACAAAGTCCGTCCCCGAACCTCGATGATCTACCTCTGCGGTGCGACGGTTGCGAGACGGTCTCGTGTGTGGTCGGATCATGGTCGGATCATCATGGTCGGATCGGTTCCGCATTGTAAATGGGGTTTCAACTGTTTTTCGTGCATGTGCGGTCGACAGAATTCCATTGTGATTTGCAACTGTAGGATCGTTCCCGCATTGTAAATGGGGTTGCAAGTGGTGCTGGTGGATGAGTTGCCGATGGAATTCCATTGTGATTTGCAACTGTAGGATCGTTCCCGCAATGTAAATGGGATTGCAAGTGTTGCTGGTGGATGAGTTGCCGATGGAATTCCATTCTGCTTTGCAACTGTAGGATCGTTCCCGCAATGTAAATGGGATTGCGGTTTGCAACTCAGTCTCTGCAGATCGCATTGTAATGGCTGCGTCAAGGTTGCTTCGTGCTGTGGCTGCATTCGTAATACTATTGTCTTTTGCAGCTGGATCTCGTAAATCGTCTTGGAGTGGCTGCATGAAGGCTGCGACAGTGATTTGTCAGCAGATTTTCTCCATTTTGGCGCTAGTGATTTTCCTTCTAAAAATCCTTTTCAAAAGTGCTTCAAAATCGTCTTTTTTTCGCTCTGGCGTCGAGATCCGGTTTTGGAGCTACAATTTCCGACGCCGTTGCGCGTAGTTCTATTGTGTTTTGCAACTCAGTCTCTGCAGATCGCATTGTAATGGCTGCGTCAAGGTTGCTTCGTGCTGTGGCTGCATTCGTAATACTATTGTCTTTTGCAGCTGGATCTCGTAAATCGTCTTGGAGTGGCTGCATGAAGGCTGCCACAGTGATTTGTCAGCAGATTTTCTCCATTTTGTCGCATTAGTGTTTTTTTGTTCCACGTAGGTTTAGAGCAGTGTGAAGTGTGGGGCGTAAAGAGTGCAGTGTGAAGTGTGAAGTGTGAAGGAAGCAGTGGGAAGTGAGAAGTGTGAAGTGTGGAGTGTGAAGTGTGCAGTGTGGAGTGTGAAGTTTAAGTTTGGAGTGCGAAGAGCGCAGTGTGAAGTGTGAAGTGTGAGGTTTGGAGTGTGAAGGAAGCAGTGAGAAGTGAGAAGTGTGGAGTGTGAAGTGTGAAGTGTGGAGTGTGAAGTTTGAAGTTTGGAGTGCGAAGAGTGCAGTGTGCAGTGTGAGGTGTGGAGCGTCGAGGGAAGGACACGGTCGGGACAGGTTGTCTTTGAACTATAGGTCATTTATCTTTGGGAAACTTCCGCCGCCGGCTTGCCCGGGTCTATGTTAATTGGTTGGGGTTTTTGAGCTATGAGTATCCTAATCGGCAATCAAACATGCTAATCGAAAATAGTTTATGCATGGAGATTTTACAGTCATGGGAAGCTTATGAAACGGGATATTTTCCAGCTTGCCGTGGACCAGAGGGTAATTTGTGAGAATCATTGAGTTTATGGTGGGGATATCACCAGTTGATATCCAATTTGATGGGATTTTTACGTTTTTTTTTTGATAGATCATACTGTAATTGAAAATGATAGTCCCAAAACACGGGATTTACCGTGTTTTTCGCACGCGATGGCCATGAGATAATGGGGAAGATGCAGTTCTGTGCGATGGATACCTGATTTCGAGACGAGGCTGTGCATTTTCTTCACAGTCGAACTTTGATTCTTCCAATGATCAAAGTGATCAGCAAATCGAACTTCTCATGCAGGATTTGGGACACCCTGGCACAAAAATGGGTTTGAAAACATGAAGTCTATCCAAACAGTTTCACTTATCCACATCTTTCTCCAGTTCTATGTTTTTTTTCCAACAAAATCACCGTATCTCCAGGTGTCCAAAAGTTCACAAAACCCCCAGGCCTGACATACTCGCGCCAGGTGTTGGAAGCGGATCAAAAACAGCGCCACAAAAGTGCCTGGAAATGTCATCATTTTTTTACAGGCTATAGAGATGCCTTTTTTGATGTAACGGAATGTCACCTTATTATAGTAGTTATCTACTGAAAAAGTTGATTTTCAAGTGAAACATGGTGAAATCATTCACACACCAAGGTGCTTTGATGATCCAAGAGCTTTGGCGTGGCCGTCTTCGCGCAAGAGCCCGGGAGCTCGCTGAGTGACCATCTAGCAGTGCTTACTGAAAGGAAAAAGTGGACAATCATAGAGAAAACATCGAAACAAACCAAAAACTGGATGAGTTTATGCTTAAACAAGGGAACACCGCCTTGAGGCGGGTGTGGGTTTTCTACAATTGTGTACTTGGTGATTGAATCAAAAATCACCTTTTTACACTGTAATTTGCAGTATTTTATGCTTGTGATCTATGATGTTTTGACGTTTGCTGCAAGATGTCAAAATGCAAAAAAAAACTTTTGCAATTCCGCAACATCTGCTTGAGACATGAATACATAGATATTTTAAATACCTTTTACACACACATATATATATAAACATGTAAACATACATGTATATAAAAACACGCGTTTTGATAAATGTATGTTGTAAATGAACCTAGCAAAGTTGGGCAACGTGTCTTCGGTAGCGTCATCTTACAGTCGAAAGGAACGTTATCATCCCCACCCCACCCCCCCACCCCCCCTCCCGGTCAAGGTAGCAAGACGTCAGCAACAAAGTTGGGCAACGTGTCTTCGGTAGCGTCATCTTACAGTCGAAAGGAACGTTATCATCCCCCCCCACCCCCCCTCCCGGTCAAGGTAGCAAGACGTCAGCAACAAAGTTGGGCAACGTGTCTTCGGTAGCGTCATCTTACAGTCGGCAAGACCGTTAAACACGTATACTGCCAAAGAGCACAAACGTGGAAAAAACCACGCCCGCCTCGGGGCGTTGACCCCATCTTAAACAACATATTATAAAGCCTCATTGGATATTTTTTGGATTATCATTTTAGTCTATATGTTTTAGTGATAAATATGACCAGTCCATCCGGTCGTTTTTGGCAGTTTCGTGGCTCAGGCGCTCCTCAAAAATCTCCGCGAAAAGCTGCTCAACAAGAAGGAGACGCCGGGTTTCGGCCGTGGATTCCACGACGCCGGGTTTTGGTACGTGAACGTGAGGAAAAAAATCCAGATTTCACGGCATTTTTTGAGTAGGGAAACGAGGGAAACGGAAACATGATAAACATGGGATGGGTAGGTAGTTATGGCCCATAAATGGCCCATAAATGGCCATTGAAAATACCAAGCTGTGGGAACAAGTGGATGTCACTAGCTTCAACCCGTGTCAGTGTGGATTTCCATCTCCCCATTCGCGGCGGAATGAGTCGCGAAGTGCCGAAGTGCGCGGCGATGTCAGGAGCTCAAGAAGCTCATCCAGGCCGTAGGGAAATCAATGGGGACATAGGGAAAATTAGGGAAACAAATAGGAAAATATTTGGGAAATATTAGGGAAATGAATGGAATCAATTCAAATGAAGGCATTACCTGGCTGTGTTTCGATGGCTTGCTGCGACCTAAGCGGTTCACAAGGCAAGATTTTTTAAGTCAAAACTGCATATCAATTATATGACTATATATCAACTATATATCAACATGTATTGAGTGGCAATCATCTCAACAGGGTTTTCTGCTGACGAAAAGCGGTCGCGGTCAGGCAGAGGATGAGTTGAAGGTTCGCATGGCCAAAGCTGCTGTGGGGGACTTATGTCTGCAGAGTAGCCTCTGGTAAACATACAAAAAACGATGGAAAGATCCACCATTTTATAGCTGGGAAAATCAACTTTTGAATGGTCCACCGTTTTCCAACTATGACCAAAAATGTGAAGAGACTCCAAGTTGGAGAAGGTTTTTCCTTGCCTTCAATGTGAGGCACGAATCTGGAAATGGTGGAAACCCTTTGCGCTCAGAAGGAGATGGTTGGGTACTTAGAGCAGTTGCAGCTTGGGGAGAAAATGTGGTGAGAAAATGTGGAGTGATTTAGGCTATGAAACTTGTGAAGCTTGATGCTGTTGCAATGTTGCCAAACTTGGTTCCCTTGGTTCTGGAAATTTCAGCATCCAATTCAAAGACGCCTTGGGAAGTCTCAGCATTCAGAACATGGACAACACTCAAGCCAGCTGGGACTTGTTGATAGCTTTACTAAACTTTGGCAGCCTCTGAATGGTAATTAAATGCAAATTCATCCATTTTTGAGACTTAAATCTTGAGAATTGAAATCACTGAAACTTCAATGGCACATCCATTGAAAGGAATATCGGAATATCCATTGAATATAATGTCCATTAAATGGAATATATTGCATGGAATCACTTCCATAGAATGTCTTTATACCCTCCATTCCTCATTTTTTGAGGCTGACGGCCATCGCTGGAGTGCGAGCGGCCAAGAAAGCCAGGGAGCGACAAATGAAAGAAACCCAGCGGAAGGAGGACCACGTCGCCACGAAAACCGGGGATCTCGGTGGGTTGGTCTCAAACCTTCTTTTAGAAAAAAAAGGCCATATTTCTGCGATTTTGATTACAGAAAAAAAAGAAATTCTAGGGAGACCCAAATTCGACACATAGTCATTTTTTGTTTTCTTTGATTTTTGGGAGATGTATGTTCACTATATAATTTGCGTGGAATTTTATGGCTATCAAGAATGGGGGGAAACAAAAAAAACATGAGGTGGAATGTGGAGTTAATCTCACCCTTGTGAGAAAAAAAACATATATAGATATTATATGCCCCTAATATGATACACTCACCAGAAAACACCATGTTTTTTTTTTTGGTTGGGATTGACAGATCAAAGGAGCTGAAAGCCAAAAGGCTCAAAGAGCTCAGCGATTTGCAGGTGCTTTTCCGGGCCGCTTGCCGAAGAAAATTTAGGCATCTCAAGTCACCATGGCTTTCATATTTTGGTTACCTTGATGATGGTTTTAGTAAATGGTACCATCGGGGTTACCATATACACCGTTCGGGGTACGCAAATGGTTTGATGACTTGGTTTAGATGACTCGGGTAGCCCGATGGAAAGCCCCATGAAAATCATCCCATTGAATAAGTGGCATTTGTCGTTTGGCCGATTCCTGTTTCGCGTGTCGCTGTGAAACCAGGTGAAAATTGCCTTCCAACATCCTATTTGTGTGGTGTTTCCTTATTTTGTTGCCTCTCTAATGTTTGTCCTTTTAACTCTGTTTGCTTTCAGTGTTGTTTGTGTTCCCCCTTTCGTGATAAGATGTGCTAGTGCTGATTCCATCGCTGAGAAAACATTGCAGGATAAAGAAACTCGCAAGGAAGCGCTTCGCAAAGTTTGGTTTGATGCTTGTAGAGTCGAGCATTTTTGTTGATTTGTTCTGGTTGGTGGTTTGGAACATAGCTGGATTATGACTTTCCATATATTGAGAATGTCATCGAGCATATTTTTCAGAGGGGTAGGTATACCACCAACCAGTGTCTGTATTGACCATCATTTCATCCAGACTTGCATGTATATACATAACATTACATAACCATGTACATTATCACCATAGGATCCACGTTTCAAGCTGACCGGTTTTCCAGGAGCACTGGCCCTAAAAATCCCTGGTTGATCAGCCAATGACCCAGCAATGGAATCCCATTCTCAGCCACGTTTCAAGGGATGAACACTTGGAGAGTTTGGATTCGCGACAGGAACACGCCCAGATCCGCGCCAACTTGTTGGCTCCGGATGAAACTCATCGGATGAAGGCGGTTTGATTTTGAGAGTGACTCCTTTTTTTGACGTGAAATCCGTTCCATCTTCATCTACTATCAAATACGCTACAAACAAAATCGTGGCTTAATTCTACAGCACTTTATCTAAATTCACTTTAGGGTCCCTATGTGATATTCGAGCAAGGGATAACGTGTTTTTTGTGCACACAAACCAGCCTTTTTTGGATTGCGAATTTGCTGCGCATGTTTAGGTGAAGTGCCAGCAGGAGAAGAAGAGGGAGATGACGGAGAGCCGACAAAAAGCCATTCAGCTTCAGGAGATGTTGAGAATCGAGATGGATCGAGATGGTGGGACGGTGACTTGTTTCCATCCCATCAAAAGCCATCAAGTCATCAAGCGCTCAACGCCTTTTTGTATCAGATTGATATACGGTAGATTGATTATTTGTATGGATTTGGGTTTTACAAAAAGTTGTTTTTTACTCCAATGATGTGGCCATTTTACGATGGAAGTCTAACCGGTTCTTTACTGCTCGTTGGGCAGTCCTGGAAAAACTGCTCGGAACCAGCCGTGAGCTTCAAACCACGGCTGAATATGTATAGACTGTATAGATGACAAAGGATGGGACATATGACATATGGAAATGATTAAAAAAGACATTAAACATGGTTCATTTTCAATGGTCCGGTGGTCCATTTTCAATGGAAAAACCACGGTTATTAATTAGTATCCAATGGTCCAATGGTTATAGTATTGATATATTAAGTTGACCATGGCTGATCTCTGGTGGTTTGGAACATGGCTAGATAATGACTTTCTATATATTGGGAATCATCATCCCAACTGACTCATATTTTTTCAGAGGCTCCACCACCAACCAGTTATGTGAAGTTCAAACATTGAGTCGTCTTCTACTTGAAAAGCGTGACACTTGGACACACTTTTTTGCGTGTGTGCTTTGACTTGGACAACTTGGAGAACTTGAACACTGCGACGCACGGTGCCGCTGCATGAGAAAACATGAGTTTCCCAAATTGGAGACCCGAAAAAAACCTTTGAGTTTTTGAAAAAAATGACCAACTTCACATTTTTCCAGAGTCATATATGTTGTAATACGCTTGTATTTCCCATGATCTCCCCATCAATTTCCACCAGATGCTGTCCCCTGGCCGTCGCCATGTCGAGCCGTTCCGGTTCCGCGCCGTTCCGCGGCCTGCTGCGGGCGAAGTGCTCCGTGGAGGAGGCGACGCTGCGACAGCAGCAGCGGCTGCTGGATCCACTGGAGATGCGTCGAGGCTGCGATCTGCGACATCCGGAGGCGGGAGCGGAGCGATGCGGATATAGTCCATGGTGGATAGTAGTGAACTATGGTGGATAATAGTGGGATAATAGTGAACTATGGTTATATAATAACCATGGTGGATAATAGTCCATATGGATGATTAATAGTGTTTTTTTTAGTGGGATAATAGTGATTAGCATCTGGTGATGTCAACAGTTTGCGAACTAGAAAATCCACCCATTTTTATAGCTAGGTAAAGCATCTATTTCTATGGACTAAATGGGCCATGGCTTCCATAGCGAACTGTTAGTTTACCAGAGGGTATGTAATATGTCTAATATGTATATATCATTATATATATATATCTATGTATCCTGATAATATGATGACATAGTTTTTATTCTTATATAATCCTGATTCATCGCATGTTTTGGGATGTTTCTTTTGGATATGGACGATATGGAGCATCAGCCATCTTTTGGCTGATGAAGTGTGACTCCTGTGATCCCCTCCTAAGGGCCGGCCACGTCAGATCTTGGAGTGTCTTTGAAAAACCACGGCAGTTCGGCACCAACGGCAGGATGTTTGATGAGTAAATACCACTATACCACACAAAAGGTACACAACACTACAATAAAAACTACACTAGACTACACTAATTACACCACAACCACAACTACAACTGCAACTGCAACTGCAACTACACTACCACTACAACTCCATTGCGCTACAGCTACAACTACAGGTGCGCTACACCACACTACATCCAGCAGTTCTGGTGAGGTGACCACTGCAACCATTGCAACCATTCCAAAAAACACAACTCGGACCACCTGTCGGTCCATCAGTGGATTCGCTCTGCCATCCGTGATTCACAACAACCAACCTCTCCTTTAGGTTTCCTATTTTTGAAACTTCCCCCACCTCCTTGTGCGGTACTACTGGTATGATTTCCATATGATCCAGTTCATCATCCCAATAGATTCTCCGTTTATCACTCCGTGATATCCACTGCGGTCGCAGCAGGTGGATTTCTCCTTAGCCACCAAGAAGTACCAGCGAAGCTCCGCTGGGAAAACCTTCGAGCCCAGTGAGGTGAGAAGTCCTGAGACCTGCTTAGACACCTGGCGAGTTGCGACTGCGGCGCCACTGCGTGGATGAATCATGAAAAGGTGGGAATGATATTGGGATAATATGGGGACTGGGGAATATGACATACGGATGCGTACATATATATATATATTATATTACATATATATTATATTACATATATATATATATACATCATTATATATCATATAATTTCATATAATCCTGTCTCCCTATTACTAATCCCCCCTAAATGGTAAACAACGTGATCTATTTTTATTAGGAGGTATTTTGTATTAGGGTGCTCCTAATATTCCAATGAAAAACCCTAATAATAAAAATAAGAAATCTCGATTTCAATTTTGATTAAATCGCTCATTAAAATCTATATAACACATTGCCAAAACCTGAATTTCGAAGTTTTCCCCTAATATTCCAATGAAAACCTTGATGATATAAATAAATAAAACAACTTGTGAGATGGGACCCTAATTAAAAAAACCTCCATGTGGCAATGAATTTTTTATTAATAGAGGGTTGAACCCATTGTTTCACCAACCTGTTCTCTCAATTTCCATGGGGATCATGGAAGAAAAAAACAAAAAACTCGGGAATTCACCCAGTTTTTTGCGCTGACTTTTGAAAGATCTTTGACTAAGGAAACCATGACTTTTCTGATGGATATTGTTTTGGAGGCGGATCTTCATAGTGAAACCTTTGCGATCACACCTTCGTTCATGCAGATCTACAGCTACTTGCACGACCGTTGCCGTGCGGTCCGAGTGGATTTGCACCTTCAACAGCCATGGAGTTCTCAGACAGCGGCCTTTGTGACATGCCACGAGTATTGCCTTCGATTCGAAATTTTCGCCCGTTTTCTCTTCGCCAAAGATGCCAAGAATGGCAAGGGTGGCTGCGGCAATGATGGCAGAGATTTGCTGAACAATTTCACCCATTAATCCACCAATTCTGGGAATTTGCTCACTTTCTGTGCTCTCTTTTTATAGCCCTCTCTTGCTCCCTCAAATCAGGTGATCAAATCAGGCGATCAAATCAGGTGATCAATAGGTAATAAGTAGATATATATATTTCATATATAATCCCAACTTTTTTTGCCAGCAGATCATCATCAATTCATAAATTCATCATGGCTTTTTTGGTCATGGCCAAAGTCTCAGGCTATGATGAGCACTTGGGATTGCAAGCGATCTCCCAGACCATCGATCCGTTGCTTTGCGCCTACCGCGATGCCCGTGTCAAAGGCCAGGCCTTTGAGACGGAACCGGAGATACAGCGCCTGGTGACTTGGCGAGTCGCCGAGTGGATGGTGACTTTTTTGGGGAGGTAACAGGTGCACAAATAGTCACTAATGAATAAAACATGGGCTTATGAACCATATCTGATGGATTTCTGATTGGTGGTGACTGGAACATGGCTGGATTATTTTTCCCATTCATATTGGGAATGGAAAATCATCCCAACTGACTTTCACTCCATGATTTTTCAGAGGGGTAGGTGGCTCAACCACAAACCAGATATTAGAATCATATTATAACCAAATATCATAACCATATATCAACATATTATGAATGAACTTTTTTGAAGGTCAAGGGCAACTTCAAGTCCTGTTGAGGTGATCCTGCTGCTCCTGGCCACTTCTCCAGAGAAGTTGCCATCGCATCTGGCAGCGATGGATGGAGAGCTGTTGCGGGATCCACTGATTCTGGGAGCAGTCAATGCATGCGCTGACTTCCTCAGTGCCCTGATCTTTAAAGATACTACCAGCCAACTACCTAAGATTACCTAATAATTTTAAGGGCGTGATGTGGAAAAACATATTCCTGTACCTCAACCACGAGGATCTCAAATGTAGATTCATGGTACATCATTATGTATATAATACACGTGCATTATGTCTTTTGTCTTACATCTTATGTGTTTGTATTCTCCACAACCTACTGTTGCCATTCAAAATTGCAGCATCGTGACAGGTGATGACTACGCTCGCTTCCTGCGATATGTGGCCAGTGAAAGCCACCTCGTCGCATGTGTTTTGGCCGACGTGGCGGCTTTGGCGAGGCTCCGATTGCTCTGGCTTCGTGCACGGGCGTATCCCAAGGACCGATTGGGGGGACCGTTGACCAATGGACCAAGCGGGGGCGGGGTTCGCTATCTCACCACTTGTCTCCCGTTTGTCTTGTGTTCTGTAAGGAACCTTCTGAAACTTGGGGATTTCGTTAAAGCATCCGATTTCAGAGACATGAAATCCAAGTTCATCAAAGGAATCTTGCCGCACAATTTATACCTAACAACTGTTTGGGGTCTACGGGGTGTAGTTTCTCAACTAATTTTGGTACTGGTTGTTGCAGGCTGTGGGTGATCGATGGCAACTTCAGCCTTTGGCCAAACTCCTGTCGTGTGACATGGAAGTTCTACAGTCGCTGCTGACCACCTATGATGTGGATCTGGATGATGAGCGATTTGAGGTCTGACATCAAATGGAGGTTTCCTAAGTCATGGGGGTACCCCCAATATCCCCCAGTCATCCATTTAGTTCGATGGGATCTTCCATAAACCATCCAGCTGCCAGTTTCGGTTTTCCCATGACTATGGTTGGGGGATCACTGGATCACAGGCTGTGCTGCCTCGAAAAGATGCTTGGGCAAAGCATCCGCTGTGCTGTGACTTGCCACAGTTGCCACGAGAGATTCGCATCCGTGAAGATCGTGAAGGGAAGGACAGTAACTGTCCCATTCCTTCGGGGAAACTTCCTTCTCGCAGTGAGTTAGTGAAAGGTCTCGCAGAAAAGCGGCGGCTGCGTGAAGATGGCGGAGAAAATGTCAGTTGGATGAAAATTGCCCCTTTTTCGGCATGGTTACATGGTCATCAATTCAGAGGGGTTTCTATACCGAAAAGATCCGAAAAGGATTTCCAGTATGGGATGGATGTTCCATGTGGGGCTAAACTTGTGCACCTCTCTCCTTTGGTGTTTTCGACCTTGCACTGCCGCTGGAAGGAGAAGTACAAACGCACTGCCAGCAGCAAATTTGTGGAAGGACGCAAACCGACCCTTAGCGACGGCCAGTGGCGATGTCAAGATGCAACCGTAAAATGTTCAACGATTCAATGTGGTTTCCTGTACATCCTGGCACGCTGCGGCTGCAACCTATCCAGAGCAGCCTTTCCCATGAAAACACGTGAAAACAAAAAGGAACGCCTGAGGGTCGCTGAAGGGTGCGACTCTCTGTTCGTCTCGCCTGAGGAAAGAGTGGAAGCAAATTTGTTTACCTTGGTCGGACACATGGGAAGAGTCTGCTGCTGGCATCATCCGGAAGGAAGGCATCTCTATAGTGACTCGGTTGTTTAAAGGCTACCCTCTGGTAAACGTTTACATAACTATGGAAAATCACCATTTATAGCTGGGTAAATCAACTATTTCGACTGGGCCATTTTCCAGTTCGCAAACTGTGAATGTTTACCAGATGCTATATCATATTAAATCCATATTAAATCCCATTCAACCACCATAAATCCCATAAAACCCCATTAAATCCCATTTAACCACCATCAAAAATCCCATTAAAATTTGCCATGTTTGCCTCATTGGCTCAGCAACTCAGGCAATGGAAAGCGATCGCTTCGAGGTTTTGAACCGCAAGGGCATCCCATTTTCGATGCGGGAGCGCCGCGGGTTGCCAAACCACGAGCAGTTCACCGGTTTTGCCAAACATGGCAATGGTCTCGTGTCAATAACACAGTGTTTCATATGGTGATCAGTGGTTCATAATGATTAATAGGTACTGTAATTACCAATAGTGGTTGTGAAGAAAAAAACTCGGCATTAGGTGAATATACAATAGTTTTCGTCTGAATGGGTATATTGGGTATATAATGGTCATTGATAGATGATATAATGGGATTACATTCATCCATTAGTAGATAAAACCAGAGTGAAGTGCTGCCAATTACTACGATAGGATCATAATGGGAATTGTTGATGGATGAGGTTTGTTTTAATATCATTAGGCTAATGATATTATAGCATGGAATTTTCTGACAGTACACTCTGATGTCATCAAACATGGCTGGAAAATCTTGTGTCAATGGGGTTTCTGGTTGGTGGTTTGGAACATTTGGATTATTTTTCCCATTCATATTGGGCATGTCATCATCATGTCATCATCCCAACTGACTTTCAGTCCATGTTTTTTCAGAGGGGTAGGCGATACCAACCACCAACCAGATATTAGAATCATATTACCCTCTGGTAATTTAACATGGCTATTGAACATGGCCATTTATAGTGGATTTTCCCATTAAAAATTGTGATTTTCCATAGCTATGTTAGTTTACCAGAGGGTATAACCAAATATCATAACCAAATATCAAGGGGCTGGGGAATTTTCCAGCTGAAGACACCAGAGAGTTCGAATATGACCAGCTGGGCCATCCTGAAAAACACCAGTCGAATGCCCCACGAGTCGATGATTTTCTATATCAAATATATGAATCATTGTTGATGTTAATAGCTATAGTTAATTGTGAATAACCACAAAAATCACCATGTTTTTCCCCAAAATTATCGATAAATTATCCAACATTTCCCCGTTCACGTGGCGTTCAACACGTGGTTCACATACAACAAATTTCCCCTCCGGGGATGATGACTGACACTAAATTTCTCCAGGACAAACGTCTTCAAGCAGCCTCGGGTCGACGCTTGGTGCTGCAAGCGGACTTTCCGATGCTTCTGAATATCAAGGTTTCCGGAGAGCTGGTGGAACTCGATGGAACACCTACATGGACTCACCACATCCGGGAAAAATTGAAGCAAGTCCTATGGAGGTAAACTATCATAGCTGGGAAATTCTAGAAATAGATTTTCCATTGCCAGTTTTGATGAGCGGGGAAATACCTCTTTTTTTGAGCCCATTGCTATAATTGTTATTTCAAGTGAAGTGTAGGCGGAAGAACAGATGCAAAGCAACTTGCACTCGAAAGAAAACAGAGACTGAAGGTGGAAACAATCGAACCATCAAAACTTTCTCCAGATGACTGCGCAATCAGACGTGTTTTTAGGTTTTGTGGGGTAGGATGCTACCTTTCTAAAGGGTTTGTCATTCAGAGGTATATGAATGACAGAAGTCACCATTGGTTTCCCCGTGAAATGGCTCGCCCGTATACCCTCATGAGCCTCATGACTAACAGTTTGCTATGGAAACCATGGCACATTTAGTTTGATGATTTAACTGTTAAACATTGTGATTTCCATAGCTATGTCAGTCAGTACCAGCAGGTCGAAGAGATGACGAACACAGCTTCCCGCCAGGTGTGGACCATTGCCGAGCTTCAACGTCGACTGCGCGAGCCGGACAAGGAGCTGTGCCAGTCGCAGGCGAGTGAAACCGACGTGAAACGAATGGTGACCTCCAGAAATTGGGGGTGGGTGCAGTGGGGCTGAAAATCGTGGCTGGGAATTTTCCTAATTTTCCATCCTTCAAATCCTTCAATTTCATGGTAAGCAAAGATGGAACAATAGATGGAGCGCCAAACAATAATTCCAAGCTACGCAGCGAATTTTGATGGTTGTTGAAAGCCTTGAATTTTTCATCCACGGGTGAGGCAGCCATCCAGAAGCAGATCGAGCAGTTGGAACGCGGACGGCCAGGCCCGGCCGCGATTTTTCACCAAGGTAAACCTCTCAGAATCGGAACATCGGAAGTGGTAGAAACATTTCTTGCTTTTCCCATGTCTTGGAAGTGTTTCCTGCCCATCCATTGATTACCTTAAGCTAGATAGGAGAAGTTGGATACGAATCGGTGCTGACATCGGCAAGTGGACAGACACATCTCTTCCCTGCAAGGGAAGCTGTTGGAACCGCACGAGAAGTTGAAGTTGGAACGCTTGAGACAAGAGGAGGCAGAATTGAAGGTGCCCTGACGGTGCCCTGACCACACTGGCTGCTGGGTTCTGCATTTTTTCCAGAACATGTGGACTTTCGATTTCGGATTTTCCTCAAGTTATGGTCCTTGGGGATATTACGGTGATACAGAAAAACAACAAAATATGAAAATGGTTAGTCCATGGAAATGATGGCAGCAAGATCATCAAAATCCAACCACTTTGCGAGGATATAGGTTCAGGATCTTGGGGGAATATGATGCAACAAGGAGAATTACAGTGAAGATATCATGGGGAGTACCATTTTAAGGGATTTAAAACCAGCAAGAAGAGTCCCGAAAGACGCGCTTTGAGTCCCGAAAGCGGCGTAGGCCCTATGGCTAAGTAATCCATGGTCATCGAATCATGAGTATTTTCGGGCAAAACCTGCTGTTACTCTTGCCTTTTGTGGCTTGTTTGTGCGTCATCTGAACGGGAAAATAGAGATGTGACCCTCATTTCCGCAGGATTTCAGGTACGCCGACCCTTCATTCTTTCCCCATCAAAAACTCATGAAACCAGCCTCATTCTTTCCTTCTCTACGAACCATGGCCCTTTCACAAGGCATACCCTCTGGTAAACGTTTACATAGCTGTTGAAAATCACCATTTTTAATGGGTAAATCCACTATTTCTATGGCCATTTTCCAGTTCGCAAACTGTAAACGTCATAACCAGAGGCTATATCATATTAAATCCCATTCAACCACCATCAAAAATCCCATGAAAATCCCATTGAAATCCCGATGTCCGTCGACTTCGTCGTCCTTCGTCCGCCGTTTTGCCAGTCGCCAGGTTCGATCTCAAGAGTCACGAGCGGTGCTGGAAGGGATCCTGCGAAGCCGAGCCACGGTGATGGTGCAGGCGGCTGCGCGGCTGCGCGGAGGGGGAATCCCAGGTGTGGTTTTTGATTTACCAAGAGAGGACTGGGATGGGATGTTGAGACATTTTTTAAGGATATATATATATATTATATATATATAATGGGATATAATGGGATATCGATGGTTAATGGTTAAGAATGATTAACAATGGTTAACTAATGGGTATTAACAATGGTTATTAGATGTTTTTAGCTGACGATTCCGGTGATGATTTTTGCCAGATTTGCCATGATGACGGAAATTCATCCATGATTTTTCATTGACATGTTTGATTACCGGAGAGTATAATGGGACATATTTTAATTAATGGAATATCAATGGGACATGAATGAAATCTTGAACATTGATTACTATATTGGTTAATACCAGAGGTGTCATCAAACATGGCTGGCAAATCCCCAAGCTAAATGGAGGTTTATGGCTGGTTTATACTTGGGAAAATCATCAATTTGGGAAAAAGACATGAATTTTGCGAAGGGAGCTACATGAACCATGCCTTTCATAGCTTACTTTACCAGAGATTACCGGTAATCAAACATGGCAAGTGAGAAACCAGTTCGAGAATTTTCGCCGCTCTAAACCTCCATTTACCGTGGGGGATGGTCATCAATCCATTAGGAGTAGATCCTACTAACCGGCTGGCCACGATTCCATCAACACGGTTGCCATTCGATTCCTTCTGTAAAGAACTGGTTTTCCCCAAATTGGTCAAAAAAAATACCGATAATACATATAAATAGTGATTTATCATCAACTTTCTGGGATTACACCCCCTGCTAGTCTGGTTGAATTCATGTACTATGTCATGACCTTCTTTGTGTTTGATCAAAATCCCATGAGTTTTTCAATCCGCAATCCGGTTGGGATGACTATATAAATAGCTATCCTGCACCCTGTTGTCACGGCCAAAACCTGGCTTTTTGTGACCGGTTAGTGGGGGGTGGGATGACCATTCATCCCATGTAGAAATTTGACCGGTGAAGCACTACTATTGAGAGAATCCCATTTATAGATTCGCGAAAAAAAAAACAATCCATAAATCTATAGTAATGCCATTAATATGAAATAATATGAATATATATGACATAAACTTGATTTAAGGAACTAGCCTATAGGTAAACAAATTTACATCGATGTGGAAATTCCCAGCCGTTTCCCGTTCGGACAATGATCAAAAACAGGCCGTTGTGCGTGGCTGTGGTGCTCGACGGAGGCAGAGGCACCGACGAGAGGCGGCCAAGGCCCAGGGGCCCACGCGGCAGCGTCATGGATCCCCCAGTCTCCATAGGTTTCAAATGGTTTCAATGACTAGAATTCTGTGAATGGATGAAATGGCTCGTTGAGAAATTGTTGGAGAGTTTTTTTGTTAATGATTTAAACACTGATTTTCGGAGGTAGCAAAGTCCCAAAAACAATTGTCATCAACAATGGAGGAAAGTGCAAGAACACCTTTGAATGTGTTGGTTCAATGTGTTGATATCAGGCCTGTGTCACTTTCATTGAACAAAATCATCTATGTTTCTCATGGTTTCTTCATGGAGTGTAGCCGCTTAGCACCTCAAATGTAGCTCTTCGGTTTTTCGAGACGACCATGTCCTTTACGTTCAGCCAAGCGGCACGGGACGTATCGTCCTTTTTGGTTCCACACCAAAGTGCGGACGACTTGGTCTCTCGGGGCATCCCTGCCCGGGAAGCGCGACGAAGAAGCTATGCGCGCACATGTCTGATGGAAAGGTTGTCCACGATGATTCAGGGATTGTTGGTCTGTGGGATGGTTGTCCCTTTCATCATCCTAGGTCTACTGGTCCTCAGCCTTCTTATTGGCCTTGTGTTCGATATGGTTCATCAGTCACATGCAGCCTGTTTATCCATCATTTTCTTTGTGTTTGGGCATTTTGAGGACTCATGCAAACAGCCGCTGGGCCCATGTTTAAAGATCTTTTGGATTTTCACGGCTTCAAAACTTTGCTTGCTTTTTCTTTGGATTAGTTTTGCGGACTCTCTCACAAACTAGCTGGGTGATGCAACTTTCCGCAACCTAAGCGCTTGCTTGTGCGGCAGCTTTGCAGTCGTCACGGTGCTGTTTGAAGTGATTTGGCCAGCAACCACCCTCATCATGCTGCTACTGGCAAACAGTTGTACGACAGGGCTAATTGCCAGCACCTGGGTCGTGATGCCGCCTTTCTTCCTAGAAGCCCTATGTTGTTGGCCCATCGCATCGTTAGAGCATCCCTGGGAAGATCCGGCCGAGTTGGTAGATAGCTTCGCTCGAATCAGATTCGATCCTGATACCTTCAATGACAAAACCTATGCCACAAATTGTGCCATTTGTCTGTCAGACTTTGCTGCATCTCATGAGATCGTTTTGGCACCCTGCACGGGTCGCCATGTCTTTCATGAAGGCTGCTTGGCCGGCTGGCTGCGTACAGCTCAGACATGTCCCTTGTGTCGGGAGCCTTTGAGTGGCACGGCCACAGCGGGCACAGCGGCCACAGCGGCCACAGCTTCTGGCGCCACTCGCGGCGCTGGTGCCGGGACCGAAGGGCTGGAACTTCCACTTGCTCAGCCGAGCTGAGAAAATGGCAAATGCTGCATCTCGGGGCCAAAGTATGCCGTTGATTTCCTGGTGAGAATGCAATTCCTATGAAAAGAAGTGTGCTCTGCAAATCAAACATATCGACAATTCCCCATAGGTTTACAGCGCAGTGACGGCCAATTTTCAGGTCCTCCAGCGTGGTTGGAGAGGCCCAATTTTGCGGCCGCTGCCGATGGGCTTTTCATTTAGGATATTTGATGAGGACATCCATCATTGGCATAAAACCAACGAACTAACGGGGTGCATTACAGTATGAGAAGATAGATAGTGAGATAATCCGGTGAAACATGGTGAAACGCCGAAACTTTTTGCGGAAATCTCTGAGGTGAAGACGACTTTTTCACAGTCAGACATGAATCATGGAAGCGAGACATCCACACTCAGGGCTGGTGCAGCGTCACACACCACCGAACAGAAACCAACAAAAACTAAACAATGAGAATATATATATAGATATTATTATATTATATACATATACATGATTATAATATGTAATATATATATAAAAATACACATACACAATTATAATATATATAATATATAATATATATATATATTATATAATTTATCATTATATATATATATTATATCAATATATATTATGATATATTATATATATATTGATAATATATATATAATGATAAATCATATAATATATATATATATATATTATGATATATTATATATTATGTATATTGTATATTATATAATATATATATATATATTATATAATTTATCATTATATATATATATTATATCAATATATATTATGATATATTATATATATATTGATAATATATATATATAATGATAAATCATATAATATATATATATATATTATGATATATTATATATTATGTATATTGTATATTATATATAATATATTATATATATTATCTATGTTATATATATATGTTATATTATATATATGTTATATATGTTATATATATGTTATATATGTTATATATATGTTATATATGTTATATATATGTTAGATATGTTATATATATTAAATAATATATATTATTATTATTATTACATATATATATATTATATATATTATATATATTATATTATATATATATTATCTATTATATATATTATATTTATTATATATATATTAAATATATTATATATATTTTATATTACATATAAAATATATACTATATATATATTATATTAGGTATTATGTATTAAATATTATATATTATATCTTATATCTTATATATTATATATTATATATTGTATATTATATATTATATATTACATATTTTATATATTATATATATTATATCATATTTTATATATTATATATTATATATTGTATATTATATATTATATATTATATCTTTTATATATTATATATTATATATATTTAATATTATATATTATATATATTATATATTATATATTATATATTATATTTATTATATATTATATATTATATATTATATATTATATATTATATATTATATATTATATATTATATATATATTATATATTATATATTTTATATTATATGTCATATCTTTTATATATTATATATTATATATATTATATTATATATATTATATATTATATATTATATATATTATATTATATATATTATATATTATATATTATATATTTTTTGATTTATATATATTATATATATTATATTATATACTATATACATACGTATATCATCTCTACCATCTACAAACCATCTATTTCTGTCAAAATTTCCAAAGCAGGGCATTTGATCCACGAGACCAACTGCTTCTGACAGAGTCAACCATTGCGTAAGGCTATTTGAGCCGAGTGAGACTGGAGAACCTCAAGGCTTTGGCTCGACAACGGGTAAAACAAGTGAAGCATGTGCCTTGGACAAAGATCAAAGGTGGTGAACCGTGGCTGGGAAAATCAACGAACTATTGGAGGATGTTCTAGCCATGTTACCAGAGACTATTCCTTTCAACCTTGCAAAACAATTGAACACATACCTTTCTTCCTAAGCAATTTTGTGAATTTTATCCATACATCACATCAGCAAAATCCTGGAAAACTGGAAATGGGACACCGACTTTGGCCTCATGCGGGTCTCAGGTGCGCAATGCCGAGTCCTTGTTTGAGGCTGTGAAGGACCTTCAGGCCTGGACATTGTCGTATTTCACGGGATGATGGAACGGGGTACAGCAGCCCTGCCGGCGTTTTCAGGAAGCGATCGCCATCCGTGTGGTCAAAGACAAGGACTTCAATCCCTTCATCTTTCGCCATGCAGTCTGCTTCTCATTGACCCCAGGATACCCCAGGTATTCCAGTGATTTTTTTGACACCATTTTATGATATTTTATGCTCTGAGACACTGAACAAGCTGAAGATAGATGAAGATAGAATCATTTGCATCTAGAGCCCCGCGGCACGATAGGCAGGTCTCACTTGCCTTGTTCGCGACATCATCGCCGATAGGCATCACACAGCGACAGAACTCCGTTTGAATTGCTCGAAATTCATCTTATGGTTTCTTCACAGTTTTCATGAATCAAGAAAACTGGTTTCTTATGGTTTCTTATGGTTTCTGGTTGAAGACCCATAGTTTTCTCGGGAAAAAAAACAGAGATTCACCGGACATTTATTATATCATATTATATCCCATGATCATTTATATAAACCTCCCACTCTCTTGCCGGGACAAAGGTATTTTTCTTTTCTTCAAGGGAACCATCCACTCCCCGCGACGTTTCAGATTTCATCGCGCCGAGGTGTCGCAGCAGAGTTTGCTCCACGCGGCGGCGCAGGAAGGGCTTCACGTCTTGTGCCACGAGCTCTTGAGCGCGGCGAAGCAGCGAGGCACACGTCGGCTGGGCAGCTTCGGAATTCCCATGGAATTTTCGGTTTTTCACAATGTTGATATAGGAAATCTGCAAATCTGATAAATCTGCAGATGTTTCAGGAATTGGTATAGGATTGACAATGTTTTTTCTTCATCGTTTTTCTGTATCAATTGAGATTCTCATGTTTGAAAAATGGCTCCCTTTCAGATATTCATCAACCATCAACCAGCTAAATTAATCCTCCAGATTTATCTACATGCCCAACACATCCCCATATCCCCCATATCCCAACATTTATCTACATACTCTTACTGGTGCTTAGCAGGGAATGAGGGAATGATCCATAATCCCTAGTAATAATCATCCCAGCAACCCCCAGCAACCCATCCAGCAACCCTACGTAAAACGCACCAGTAAGTACTACTTGGTGGCTCATCCCACTTAGTAAGTGGGTTATAACCCCAGTGATTTCAGTGGATTAACCCTACTTATCCCATTTATAACTGGGGTTATAAGCCACTTACGAGCCGTGGGATGAGCCACCAAGTACCCCCTTTCTGCCAGGTATGGACAGCTTTGTTGTTGCCAGAGACTGGCGTGGCTGGACCGCTCTGCACACGGCTGCCAAGAGTGGCCAGGTGGGATCCAGATCTGCAAGGGGAGACGTCTCATGTCATTGGAAACATGGTAAACCATGGTAAAAAACACATGGTAAAACGTGATAAAACATGGTAAAACATGGTAAACACACACGGTAAGATATGATAAAATATGGTAAAGTAGGGAAACATATGATGAACAACATGGTAAACGATGGTAACATATGATGAAAAACATGGTAAACAAGGGTAAAACTACTATGTAAAATTCATATCATGTTGGTTCATTGTCCCTTTTCAAAGGGCGAATGTAATTCTTGTGAATCCTGATTGTCCCCTATGATATCCCCTTCACATTTCCATTATATCCCGATTATACCAGATTGTTAATTGCTACTTTGCTAATAACATCTAATATCCACAACTGATCATTATTAAATTATTAAATTATTCATGAATATCCCATTTTATATCTTATAACCATGATAAAACCCAACCATCTTTCGGTCGGCAGGTGGAGTGTTGCAAAGAACTCCTGACGGCAGAAGAGCTAACAGAGCCACCAGGCGGGACGATTTTCGGGATGAGTCGTCGGTGACATCGATGTGTCTAGCGGAAGATCAGAAACATGGGGATGTAATAATGATGTACACACATATATATTAATATTGATATATATTAATATATATTGATACATATATATATATCTATATATATATATTGATATATATATATATTGATATACATACATAGATTTAGTGGTATAACTATATAATGTACACACGCGCATAGATATGTCTGTCTGTCTGTATGTATTTACTGACGCCGGCGCCAGGCTCTTTGGGACGCAATGGGCAGAGCGCTTTGCACGTCGCGGCGTTGCAAGGACATACTGAGGTGGTCAAGGCCCAGCGGAACCCGGGGGTTGGGGTCAACTGTACCACCCATGAATTTTACTGGTTGAATCATGAGTCAAGGTTCATCTGGCTTCGGCTGCAAAAAAAAACTTAGCCTGTTGGGGATGACAGCCCACTCAATCTGAGAGCTTTCGATTTCGTTTGTTGCGATATCAGGCAGGTCACTCAAGGGGGCAAGCCCACATCCAAAACTCAATGGCTGCTGGCACTGCTGGCAACCCCCCTTTCCCCTCGCCTCGCCATTTGTGAGGTTCTCCTGGCTGTGCAGAGCTTTGAGGAGGAGGTGGACCGTCGCGACAGGTGCGATGTTTCAGGTGGCTTTCCCTGTAGTTGGGAAAACTATGGAACATGTCGACGAAAACATATAAGTTTGGTGGTAAGATCCGTGGTTTCCTAGTAGAATGTCCCGAAAAGTCCAAGTCTTAGTGGACCTCCAGCTTATTGGGGGGTTTATTATTGAACTGCAATTGAATAACTGGTATACCCCCTATGACTTTACCAGGGCCTTATTAAACCTGGGTCAACATTCTCCCTGTATCCCGGTATTTTGCTTTCTTTTAAATTAACAGTGTCTAAGAGCGCTTGGTCCTTGAGCAGGTGTCTTTTGTCTTTTCGTTGGAAACAGTATGTTCTTGCATCTGAGTGTTGTGGAATGGAATGCCAGTAGGACACACCTGAGTGTCACATCCCATAGTGTATCAACACATTATGTCCCCATGTTTCAACTGATTTGTAGACACACCCATATCATGTGTTGGTGGTCAACATACCGTACTATCCCATATTTTCCCATTGTATCCCCTATGCAATATCCCCATTTTTTTTTATATCCTCGTACTTAGTTGGCACACTATGGTGATTTATCTCATTCACATCGCCATTAGTGATGTAACCCCATTTAAACCACTTTTTTCATGGGATCAATATGGGGATAGTGATGATAAATCCCAACATTTCTATCCATTTCTCAAATGTTTCTGACGGTTTCATGGGATAAACGGGAGTGATTTTTTTCCTGATCAATCCCCGTTTGTTTCATAATGCTTCATAATGTTTCATAATGGATTTACTATCCATAGGATAATCAATGAAACATATGTGAAAATGGATAATCGTTTTTCATAATGTTTCATAGTGGATTTACTATCCATAGGATAATCAATGAAACATATGTGAAAATGGATAATCGTTTTTCATAATGTTTCATAATATATTTACTATCCATAGGATAATCAATGAAACATATGTGAAAATGGATAATCGTTTTTCATAATGTTTCATAATATATTTACTATCCATAGGATAATCAATGAAACATATGTGAAAATGGATAATCGTTTTTCATAATGTTTCATAATATATTTACTATCCATAGGATAATCAATGAAACATATGTGAAAATGGATAATCGTTTTTCATAATGTTTCATAATATATTTACTATCCATAGGATAATCAATGAAACATATGTGAAAATGGATAATCGTTTTTCATAATGTTTCATAATATATTTACTATCCATAGGATAATCAATGAAACATATGTGAAAATGGATAATCGTTTTTCATAATGTTTCATAATGGATTTACTATCCATAGGATAATCAATGAAACATATGTGAAAATGGATAATCGTTTTTCATAATGTTTCATAATGGATTTACTATCCATAGGATAATCAATGAAACATATGTGAAAATGGATAATCGTTTTTCATAATGTTTCATAATATACTTACTATCCATAGGATAATCAATGAAACATATGTGAAAATGGATAATCGTTTTTCATAATGTTTCATAATATATTTACTATCCATAGGATAATCAATGAAACATATGCGAAAATGGATAATCGTTTTTCATAATGTTTCATAATATATTTACTATCCATAGGATAATCAATGAAACATATGTGAAAATGGATAATTGTTTTTCATAATGTTTCATAATATATTTACTATCCATAGGATAATCAATGAAACATATGTGAAAATGGATAATCGTTTTTCATAATGTTTCATAATGGATTTACTATCCATAGGATAATCAATGAAACATATGTGAAAATGGATAATGTTTTTCATAATGTTTCATAATATTTACTATCCATAGGATAATCAATGAAACATATGTGAAAATGGATAATCGTTTTTCATAATGTTTCATAATATATTTACTATCCATAGGATAATCAATGAAACATATGTGAAAATGGATAATCGTTTTTCATAATGTTTCATAATATATTTACTATCCATAGGATAATCAATGAAACATATGTGAAAATGGATAATCGTTTTTCATAATGTTTCATAATGGATTTACTATCCATAGGATAATCAATGAAACATATGTGAAAATGGATAATTGTTTTTCATAATGTTTCATAATATATTTACTATCCATAGGATAATCAATGAAACATATGTGAAAATGGATAATCGTTTTTCATAATGTTTCATAATGGATTTACTATCCATAGGATAATCAATGAAACATATGTGAAAATGGATAATCGTTTTTCATAATGTTTCATAATATATTTACTATCCATAGGATAATCCATAGGATAATCCCTAATATCAAACGTTTCACAATGCGTCCCCTTTTTTTGGAGACCCAGGTGGGGTCGCACAGCATTGCACCTGGCGGTGGAGCAAAACCACTTCACCGCGGCGGTGAGCCTGGCGGAGCCCGGTAGCGATGGATTTTTTTGGGGCGGTTGGAAGGGATTTTTTGTGGACTCATCATGGGTACCCTCTGGTAAACTAACATAGCTATGGAAAATCACCATTTTTAATGGGAAAATCCACTATAAATCACCATTTTCAATAGCTATGTTAAATTACCAGAGGGTAGAATATTCATGAAAAACCATGAAAAAACAATAATCTATAGATATTTTATATTATAATGGTTATAATATAGATATATTATTGAGAATACTCATGATGATCAATCAATATCAAGAAACACCATGAGTCAGAAAACGGTTCAAAAGTCATGAGCTCAGAAAAGACCTTTATGGATTTTTACCCGTTGGACCAGGTTTTTGACCCCCATGAAATTCTGTCCGCCGTCTCCGCCGTCCGCAGGAGCATGTGTCCTTCAACAGCTTTGACGCCAAAAGCGCCTGGGGACAATCAGCACTGGACCTCGCGGTGTCGGAGATGAAGGAAGCCTTGCAAGCTGCCCACCAGAGGCGTCTTGAGATGGGAATGGCACGTCGGAATTGGATTGGGGGCATAGTTTTCCAACATTGGATTGGCACTTTTTAAAGGGTGAATTCGAGTTTATCCAAAAAAATATGGTCAGTTGAGGGAAAATCGTGTGAAGAACCTGAAGCAGTGGATGAAATGGTCTGTTTTCCCATAGTTTGGGATGGCCATCGTTCAAATCCCACTACCACAGAGTCGGGGATGGTTTGTGGTTTTGGGTTTACCAGATTGTGACAAAGACAAAGACCACCTTAGATTCTATTGAACGAAATCCAGTCTTGACACAGATGTCTCACTCGAAAAACGATGTTTCCCCTTACGTTTTACGTTTGTCTTGTTTAATGCTACCATCCTTTTCCCCTTAAAACAAGCTATCTTGAGATTATCAGACACACCCAAATGTCCTTGCAGGCCATTATTTGTTTTAACGTATTCCGGTCTGACGCAAGGAAGCTTGGAGCCATTCCAGGGCGACGAAGGCTCTGGGAAAGGTGTTCCTTCGGGGAAATGTTGAAAGAACAGAGCATACAGTATTGGGAATGTCAAGGCTGGATATAATATAGAATGCATTGAGATGTATGTATATACGTATATACAGTATATATATATAAACATATATTTGTATATATATATAATTATGTATATATATATGTATGTATGTAATGGTATGTAATGTAATGTAATGTAATGTAGTGTAATGTAGTGTAATGTAATGTAATGTAATGTAATGGTATGGTACGTAATGGTATGTAATGGTATAAAATGGTATGTAATGGGATCGGGGGTTCGCTTGGAGGGCCAGAGCGCCGGAAAGTGGATCGCTTGGAAGGCCGAAAAGTAACATAAGAGATACGTAGCGTTAGAGTTCCATATATGCGCAGAGGCATGTAGACACATAAATGGATGCATTCATGTGTCGCTGAAGCACGCGATAACATTCCACGCGATCCGCTTTTCGGCGCTGGAAGAGCATCATACAACGTGTCAGGAACATCTTGGAAGTTACTTGAAGAAGAGTTTTCAACGTATCAGGAACCTTTGGCAAGTTACTTGAAGAAGATGTTAAAACATAGCAGGAACGTCTTGCAAGTGACTTGACGAAGATGTTAGAACGTCTCAGGAACATCTTGCAAGTTACTTGGCAAAGATGTTACACCGTATCAGGAAGGTCTTGCAAGTTACTTGAACAGGGTGTGACAACGTATCAGGAACGTCTTGCAAGTTACTGGCCGAAGATGTTACGACGTAGCAGGAACGTCTTGCAAGTTACTTGACGAAGATGTTACAACGTATCAGGATCATCTGGCAAGTTACTTGAAGGAGATGTTAGTTACAACGTATCAGGAACGTCTTGCAAGTTACTTGAAGAAGAGTTTACAACGTATCAGGAACATCTGGCGAGTTACTTGGAACAAGATGTGACAACGTAGCAGGAACGTCTTGCATGTTACTTGAAGTAGTTGTTCCAACGTATCAGGTACGTTTTGGAAGTTACTTGAAGAAGATGTTACAACGTATCAGGAACGTCTTGCAAGTGACTTGACGAAGATGTTAGAACGTCTCAGGAACATCTTGTAAGTTACTTGAAGATGTTACAACGTATCAGGAAGGTCTTGCAAGTTACTTGCCGAAGATGTTACGACGTAGCAGGAATGTCTTGCAAGGTACTTGGCGAAGATGTAACAACGTATCAGGAACATCTGGCAAGTTACTTGAAGGATATGTTACAAAGTATCAGGAACGTCTTGCAAGTTACTTGAAGAAGAGTTATCAACGTATCAGGAACATCTGTCAAGTTCCTTGAAGAAGATGTTGCGGCATAGCAGGAACGTTTTGCAAGTTACTTGAATGTAATGATACAACGTATCAGGAACGTCTTGCAAGTTACTTGAAGAAGATGTTACAACGTATCAGGATCATCAGGCAAGTTTGAAGAAGATGTTTCAACGTATCAGGAATGTCTTGCAAGCTACTTACAGAAGATGTTACAACGTAGGTTCCAGACTCGTTTCGATCCAGACTTTGTTCCATACCTGTTCCAGATCCGGACCACGCATGGCTACCGGTTGTGTCGTGGCTAGTTCCAGAATGGTGTACGACTAAAGACTAAAGGTCTCATTCCCTGGTGCTCTAATGTAATCCACCATGCTGGTCCTCGAAACCCTCCCCGTTTCCCAGCCCCGTGTCCCCAAGTGTTACCCTAAAGGTCTCATTCCACCACGCTCGCGCCCTAAACCCACCCCATGCCCCAGCCCCGTGTCCCCACTTGTCCCCTAAACCCACCCCATGTCCCAGCCCCGTGCCCCCAAGTGTTACCCTAAAGGTATCATTCCACCACGCTGGCCCCCTAAACCCACCCCATGTCCCAGCCCCGTGTCCCCAAGTGTTGCCCTAAAGGTATCATTCTCTTGTGCTCTAAGTGATCCACTTTTTTGGTGCTCTAAGTGATCCCATTGTGCTCTAAGTGATCCGGTGCTCTAAGTGATCCACTTTCCGGTGCTCTAAGTGATCCCTTGATGGTATGTAATTGTATGTAATGGTATGTAATGGTATGAAATTGTGTCTAATTGCATGTAATTGTATGTAACTGTATGTGATTGTATGCAATTGTATGTAGTTGTATGTAATTGTATGTAATTGTATGTAATTGTATGTAATTGTATGTAGTTGTATGTAGTTGTATGTAGTTGTATGTAGTTGTATGTAGTTGTATGTAGTTGTATGTAGTTGTATGTAATTCCATGTAGTTGTATGTAGCTGTATGTAGTTGTATGTAGTTGTATGTAGTTGTATGTAATTGTTTGAAATTGTATGTAGTTGTATGTAGTTGTATGTAGTTGTATGTAATTGTATGTAATTGTATGTAGTTGTATGTAGTTGTATGTAATTGTATGTAATTGCATGTATTTGTATGTAATTGTATGTATTTTTTTGTAGTTGTATGTAGTTTTATGTAGTTGTATGTAATTGTATGTATGTATGTATGTCTGTCTGTCTGTATGTATGTATGTATGCATGCATGCATGCATGGATGTGTGTATGTGTGTATGTGTGTATGTGTGTATGTATGTATGTATGTATGTATTGTATTGTAATGTAATGTAATGTAATGTAATGTAATGTATGTATGTATGTATGTATGTATGTATGTATGTATGTAATGTAATGTATGTAATGTATGCAATGTATGTAATGTATGCAATGTATGTAATGTAATGTGATGTGATGTTATGTTATGTATGTATGTATGTATCTTATGTTATGTTATGTTGTGTTGTGTTGTGTTGTGCTGTGCTGTGCTGTGTTGTGTTGTGTTGTGTTATGTTATGTATGTATGTATGTATGTAAATATGTTTATATGTCTATTCACGTCGCTTCGCGACGGCAACCGCCCGCACCGCATCGTTCGTAACTGCCAATGATGTCGGCCATTGAGACCAAAAACATCCGAAAGTACTGATTGTCGGAAAAAAACGCGAAGAATTTGATAGCCATGTATAGCGGACCAACGCAGTTCAAAAAATAACGAAAAACATGAAATTACTTTACTTCGTGTGATCCCCACCATGACATTTATACATGTTCTTACTGGCACATCTTCTGGCATTCTATCTGACATATCTTCTGACATTCTATTTGGCATTCTATCTGGCATATCTTCTGGCAAATCTTCTGGCATTCTATCTGGCAAATCTTCTGGCATTCTATCTGGCATATCTTCTGGCATTCTATCTGACATATCTTCTGGCATTCTATCTGGCATATCTTCTGGCATATATTTTGACATATCTTCTGGCATTCTATCTGGCATTCTATCTGGCATATCTTCTGGAATATCTTGTGGCATATCTATCTGGCATATCTTCTGGCATATTTTCTGGCATTCTACCTGGCAAATCTTCTGGCACTCTATCTGACATTTTATCTTCCTACATGAGGTCCGGCAGGGAACACTTGGCGTGGATACTCGCGGTTGAGGTCCGGCAGGGAACACTGGGCGTGGATGGTCGTGGTTGAGGTCCGGCAGGGAACACTGGGCGTGGATGGTCGTGGTTGAGGTCCGGCAGGGAACACTGAGCGTGGATGGTCGTGGTTGAGGTCCGGCAGAGAACACTGTGGATCGCGGGTCGCAGTTGGACGAGGACGACGAGGACGACGAGGACGACGAGGACGACAAGGACGACAAGGATGACAAGGAGGACGAGGAGGACGAGGAGGAGAGGAGGAGAGGAGGAGGAGGAGGAGGAGGACGAGGCAGGAGGAGGCAACTGACATAAAATCTAACAACCCTCACCTGGCAGGTGGGGAAAAACGGCGAAATGGCTGTTATTTACAGTGTTTTGCGCGGTGAGAAGCAGAAACCACTGCAAATACCATGGTTTTTGAGGGTCAGGTGGCCCAAAACACTGTAATTTACAGTGTTTTTTTAACCAACGTCAAAAAACATTGGTATTTACGATGTTTTCATTCACACCGTAACATAAAACAGCGTAATTTACGAGGTTTTTGGAAGTTTTGAAGCTAGCCGTCAAGCATGCAGAAAAACAGAAAAACACTGTAAAAACCAGTGTTTCTGCTATCACAAAACGACGAAAATTAGTCCGAAAACGGGTCCAAAAACTCAAAAATCCGCCTCCGGGCCAGGCCGCCTGCGGAACCGCAAAAAAGGATGTTGCAAACCAAAAAATTGAGGTCAAAAAGTTGAAAAACACGGGTTTTTTTTCACTTTTCGCTTGCCGATTTTGGACGGGCGCGTTCACGAACAGGTGTCTTCCGTACTGTTTTTTACAGTGTTTTTTGAAGGCGAGCGTCACGACCTATCAAAAACAGGAGGTTTTGGCCGAAAAATGCCCCCCCCCAGGTAAACCTGTAACCTTTTACGAGTGCCATCCGGACGATCACGCCCCAGCACCTTCGGTGCGGGCGGATTTAGATATACATGTATTTGAATGTACACACATATATATATATACACATATGTATATTCATGTATTTGTAAATGTATATATATATGTACATATATTTATATGTGCATTGATTTTTTTTGTATATATATCAAA